GCCGACGCCGGTGGGTAGGAAAGAGGGGGAGTGATTTTTATTGAGCTCCTGGCGGCCGACCCCAGTGCTGAATTTGAAAGGTGACACAAATATTTTAGCCAGGAAGCACTCATTGGCTCGGGCTCGAAAATCGTTTTGGATCACTTCAGATGAGCTCGACGTGGTGGATAGCCTTCGAGGGCCCACTCACTTTTTTTTTCTTCGGTGCCCGACATTTTATTATCGCGCAGTCGCTGTGCCTAAAGCACGGTTACATCATTTCACAACGGCACAGGTCACGGCGCCGTACGTAGTGCTTCGTTCACTGGTCTGAGTCACGGGTGTTTGACATTTCCGTTTGAAACTCAGCGATGACGAGGGCACAGGGTCCAAGTTCGCGCTGGTTGTCGTGGATTGACTGGCTTTCGTAAACCAGATGACAGGTTCATATGTTACGTCTGTCCGGGTATATCAACTGTCAACCAGAGTGTGGTTTTCAACACGGTCCGATACACGTGTCTTAGCAGTGAACTAACAGCGGTCTTGCGACTCATCAGCCTGAAACGAGATTTAGCGAGTGTGAATATTGAATAAGGGCCGTAACACAGCGCCGTATTTCTGCAATTCGTTCCTAACCTTTCTCAGATTAACACCACTGTGGCAAGCTTAACCTTTCCCAATTTCATACCCGTCATCGCCCACCTTCATATTCTACCTCGCCCAGTCGGGACGGATTGGACGGATTCCATCCGTCCGTTCCCCTCGCTGCTCGCCACACCGGATCTCGCGAGCTCCCAGCAAAGGCCGGCGTTACGGGCTGCTGCTGCGGTGGCCTGTCCTGCACCTGTGATTGTATCACTGGTCGCTCGACTGTGTTGTCGTCCCACCTGGTGTAGCACCGAACTGGTGCTATCCGCTCTGTGGGGAATGGTGCTGCTGTGGAGGCGTGTCAGATGTTGAGGTCGCTGCTGTTGTTGATGTTTAGGTCGGAAGTAGTTGAACCATTCAGCTTGAGCTGCCGTTCGTAGTTATTTTGCACATTGTAAACCATCCATTACCCCGGGCTAAAAAAGTGTTAAAGTATAGAAGGACCGTTGCGGGCTGGGTTGTGATCCGGCAGACACCAGAGTCAATGGAACAAGGAGTTCCTGCTCTGACTGTCTGAAGCCTGTCCGTCCCACGTGGAGCTTTAATTATCCTCACGGCCATTGCCGCGGACTGAAGCTATTCATTGCACGCGTGCCTTGATCCCTGAATGATAGACCGCTGCCGGTACTGGCGTTTGGCAGTTCCCGGCATTTTTAGCTCAATCACATCGCGATTGAGATGTCAAATCGTTTCTGGATTTGTGGCATGTCGCCTGTCTGTCAAACATAGCCTTGGCTACCGGTCGTGCGCACTTTGCACCCATAACTCCGGGTTTGGACGTAGTCCCTCGCTACCGTCGCTGGCGCATACTGCAGCCTGCTGTAGCTGCCGGGCGGCGGTTTAACGAGGCCAGGGTCGGCATAATGGGACAGTGTCGCTCCGGGCGGGCACGGGCGTGTGCTCGGCTGCAGCCCGTCACACCGTTCACGCCTGTGTGACGGATGACCGCCTGTTAACGGCGGAGTCCTCTTCTCCTTGCGTCTGGCTCTGGTGACTGGTTCTCTCGCTGTGCGTGTCGGTTGCATCAGCCCGTAGTGCGTCTGTGTGTCTCTCCCCCCCCCCCCCCGCCGGTGTAGATCGCACGCCGATGTTGTCGGGATCGGTCGGTGCAGGACCGTCGCCGCTGCGGACGGCGAGGTGTTTTTCCGTAGTGGGTACTGTTTGGTAGGTAGCCTGCGCGGCCTACTCCGACTGAATGATGCAAGGAGTGGACGGGCAGGACGGTTTGACGCAGCTGTGTTTTGTGGGACCGTGGCGAGCAGGGTGGGTGGTGCGACGCTTTGGTGGCGTGGTGAAATGTCACGCTGCCCGGTCGTTGTACACAATGGTCTGTTGAAGGCTGGGGTGGTATTTGATCGAATCGATTTTCCGTCAATGGCCCAGTTTGCAGGAAAACTGTCGCGGCAGCCGGCAGCGTTGCACGCTTGTTTGTTTGGGTTTTGTTGTGACTAATTCCTGGGATGAAATGGCTGGTTCACAAAGAATATGCCGCCTTTCGTGGACCGTAACTCGTCCAAACTGGCCTGCCATCGGTCCATTCCCTCAGTTTCTGCATGTACATAATTTCGACCATTATCCGCGTTTTAGCTAAAAAAAAAAAACGCTGGAGGTGATCGACTGATGGATACGACGGGGATTATCAGTCCGAACGGATAAGGCAGGGTTCGGATCGGACCGAGTCGATCGGGCGGGTCAACTCCTGGACGGTCCACGACCACATCACATGGAGGTCATGTTGCATCAGCTGTGGTATGTATCTGCACGCACCGTCGGAACTTATCTGCCTGCAATGGCATAAATCAGTTCCGGTGATTTAGACGGCCACATTTCCTTCGGAGACTTGTTGCAAGTCATGGGAGGAAAAGGGACCGCCTAGGCGGCGTCGTATCGACTAGGCGGATTGTTGTTTTTGTTTGGCTGCTATTCCAAAGAACTGTTCTGATACCGAACTCGGAACTTTATGATGAAACATGGCCTAGATGTGACTTCTAGTAGATTTCACTTTCCGGTGCTGTCAAAGGCCGTGCTGAGTGGAAACAAACGTCATTGCATACATTCCCTTATCTCCCTCATTAATTTTCTTGACGCTGCCTGGTGTTGAAAATGTCTGCTCACACTCAGATCTGCGCAGAGATCCGTTCACCCTCCGTGTACGAACGGCACGCACCAACGCGTGGGTAGGACACGGCCGCTGCTGAATGATGTTCTGATTATTTTACCAGGATACCAGGCGTAGCGAAGCACATCATTATGACGATGTGCAAGTGTCCGTTATTGTGGCTCGGGTCAGGTCACATGCTTAGGACGCTTATCGCGTACTCTGCGCGTTCCCACCGGACTGGTTGTTACGTTGAACACCTGTTCCGATGTCCTGCAAGCCCTGCCATCCCGAAAAAGCACACCCAGGTTCTGCCCGTGCATCTGCCGTTTCAGGCTACATCTGCTCTGTCGTGCAGGCTTTTGACGGTCATTTTGCCCCTCCGCTGTTTATCTCTGTGACAGTTTATATAAGACGTCAGTACAGCCGCTGCTCTCCGTCACCATTGGCGTCAGTGGCGCCGACAGATATTTTAATGGCCGGCCAATTACGTCAAACGGTCATTAGAGCGGTCGTCTGTTGGTGACTGGCGAGTCGTGCTCTGCCGTGCCGTGCCACTCGAAGTTCGAATGGGAGTGTTGTGCTTACGAGGGACAGTAAATATGTAGTATGCAGCGAACTTGCTTCAGTAGTAAGTTCCATGACTTCCTGAGCGTTAGAGGACGAGTCTATCGTGCTAAGAAAGCGCGACCCGACCCATCACAGGTCAGCTCAGAACAGCAGTGGTTGACCCAAACCCACGCAGGACCCGGGTATTATGACCCGAGTCATATGACCCGAGCTATGTTTTATGAGCGAATGTGCCGGTCATTGGCCTCACCTACGAGTCCGAGTTATGCTAAGCCTCGCTTTCACATCGGTGCTGGGCTGGACCATCGTACTGGTGCCGGACCACCTTTTTCGTGTGGCTGTGAAAGGTGAACGGATCCCATGGGTTGGTGTTTTTGTGTGTAAGAAGGCGAGGCTCTTTGTGTCTAGGCAGAATCTTATACGGCAGGGACGGAGAGGTTTAGTGCTTCTCTGATGCATTTTTTAGGTTTTACACTTAACAGCACCTCCCATCACTCGATCAGTACGGATCACATGACTCGATCACCCACCGTTCCGTGCTTCTATCCTCAGGATACTGAAATCCTTCTCCTCCACGCTGCAACCCTCCTCCGGGCTGGACAGGCAACTTTATCTCATGCGGGCTGCTCCCTTGGAGCGGCACCGCTGCTCCCGAGGGAGCGCACCCCGTAGCCGGGTGCAGTGAGTGCCTTGGGGCTGGGTGGCCTGTCTTCGGACGGGCTCAGCCCCGGCGACTCACTAGGGTGCCTGCCCAGACCAATGTCTGCCCCTATATCCTATCATCCTTCCGGCTCTGAAATGGTCACAATTGACCGAAAGGGCCTAACCCAACAAAACAAACAAACAAACAAACTCGATCACCCGACCCAGGCAATGTCCAGGTTCTGTGCACTCGGGACTCATTCCCCTTCTGCCGGTTGCGGCGGACGCAAGAGAAGGATATTTCAGTTTCCCGCCTCCCCTATTGCAATTACGGTTGCCCCTGCTGTGTCGTAACTCGCAGGGCCCGTTTCATATGCTTTATGTTATGGTGATTGCATGTTTTCAACGCTGGGGAAGACGTTTCTCCACCGGTTCGGTGGTTTCTCAATTCTGAGTTTCCCCACGACACGAGTCGATATGGTGACCTTTTAACCACTTCCTCGATAATTGGTGTTAGATAGAAGGTGATTGTTGACACAAAGCTACCAATTGCGAGCGTGCCTTACTTGGCTGGTGTTGTTCATCAGCTTTTCTCACGAAACTAACCAAGGAACACACTGCTGCTTCCCCGGCCAGTTTGTTTCATATGCGTTTGTATTGGGCTGCCCGAGCGTGCGTTGCGTCAGCCGACCTGCTATGGCCCAGACAGTCTGAGGCGGAAGCTTTGAGCCGTTTTGACCAATTGTGTCTCAAGGACAGCGATTAGCGGAAATGGCAAACTACACTCCCATCAAGGCTTCTACATACATAACTGAACATAATCGAGAAATCACAACGCCATTCAGTTGCCATAATGCATTGCTTGCTTATGTAGGACAATCTATAAACATGCAACCGTTGTCATATTTGTTTATGTAGCGTTCATCAAAAAGGTGCCAGCTCGCTCTGTATTAGCAAGATCGCAATACATTTTAGCGCTGCATTGTCTGTGCCTGCCCAACTTCCCCATTGATAAATTAATCGCCGGTCTCCAGGATTAACGGCTCGTCTCTGCTTGTTTCAGATTTTCGAGATGATTGACACCAACGGAAACCGCATCATCTCGCCCCGCGAGTACAAGACCTTCTTCAGGGCCTACGGACTCTCAGACGAGGTGCGCTTACGGGATATTAACGATTTCGATTTACTTTGCCCTGTCACCAGAAAGACTAAGACGCTAGCCTAGATCGGCCACATCGGGCTATATTCTGCGGCCCTTTTCATTACAATGAATGATTGTTCTACGGTTTTGACATAACTTTAGTGACCGTATCGTCTGTGTGCTTTACCAAAGCTTTCCAGTTTCGATCACATATGCACAAGTATTAATTCAGTCCTGTATGTAGTGATACCAGCTCAGGTTTACGGTACCACAGAGTACCGTATGCCTCGTTTGTCCCGTGTCTCAGACTGGTGTGTGTTAATCGGTGTTTCTCCTGCCCACCGACAGATGGCAGAGCGGTCGTTCCAAGCCATCGACCAGAACAACGACGGTTTCCTGAGCATCGACGAGTTCGTCAACGTCGCCATCGACTTCCTCTACTCTGAGGACGAGAACTCGATCGGGAAGGACTTTTTCGGCGTGCTCGTGGACGAGCTGCCGGAGACCGTGCGGACCATCGACCCGCAACAGGTGGTCTCTGGCTGAATGGTGGGGGTGTGTCCGGGTCTGGTCGTAACTGGCTGACCTGTCCGTCTGTTAATGAGATGGCCCTGCGGAGGAGGTAGCTCCAGGCTCTGGAAGGAGTTTCTAGTGAAGTCCTGGAGGGCCGACGCACCAACAGCGAGATGCTGAAAGGACCAATTGAAGTACGGACGAACGAGCAGGCCTGGCTTGGCTCTGAGAGCTGTATTTGTGGCGCCAGTCTGTTGCGTGTCGGTGTCTGGAACTCTGGACTGTTCGGCGACTGTGGGGAGAATCCCACAGATTCCGTCAGACAGGCTGTGGTGAGGATAAGGAGCGAGGACCACACAGTCTCACGACAGGACGCCGCACGACGATATGTAATACAGTCAGGGACAGAACTGGCGGCCGAGGGCTGGAGAGAGGCGACCCGCGGGAGGTGACGGCAGGACTCGGCTGTGCCGCCGTGTCAGGATCTGGAGAGCTCACACAGCTGTGAGGGCGGTGCCGCGACTGACCAGTGAGCCGTCTGTCCTGCGGGAGAGAGGGAGGGAGAGGGAGAGAGAGTCGCGGCTGCCGCAGCTCTGCTGTGTAGAGCTGCGGTCAGCCGAGCCGCCAGGCTGTGTATCGGTTTCTGTACACCTATCTGTGGACTGACTGGTAGGGGCCGCGGGCCGCCGTCACCATCAGACGGGACGGAATGGCGAGCGGAGCCGCGGCCCCGCGCTGTGATCATGTAGCCTCTGGGCAGGTGCTGTAGCCTCGTACTGTGACACAACTCTGTTTGATAAGTAAATCATGGACCACTGAACACATCCCAGGCGTAGAGCTGCTGTTTTTTTCGCTCTTCTCCTCGGTGTCTGTCAAGTGGACAGATTTATGCCGGCATGGGCCCGTTTTCCGTTTTAACCACCTGGACTGAATCATTGTATTTATTTGATATTCTATGGGTGTTGAAGGTTCTGGGTCGGTTTCAGGCTGCTTGAGACGGCTCTGCTTAAAGTTTGTGGGGCTTCCAACGCAATTTGGCTACTACCTATTTGTTTACCTTTGCATATTACCAGGGAATTATTATCATAACGGTAAATTCAATGGAAGGATCTGTTTATCTTTCTCTCGGCCAAAGGCGCTGGCTTGTCCGCCCTTTAGGACCATACTAACCGAATCTGTTTTAGCACCGCGGTTGGTGGAGTGGTCGCTGTGTTAATCATATTTTGTACATAGTGTAATGAATACTGGACTCTGCTGTGAATACTACTGTGCGTAGTGGGATGATAATACATATGTGATGACTTTATTGGCTTGTTTGCAACTGAGAAACATGTTGAATCATTCATCGAGTGAGGGCTGAGGAATACCAGTGCGGTCCGGTCGAGCGGTGTGACCGGGAACCGGGCGCTGTATGACCAGGACTGAGCCGATCGGAATGCGAACTGACACTGAGGGAAGAAGGGGTGTGATGGAGGGTAGAGTGGAGCTGTGAACTGTGCACTGATGCGGGGAGGACTTCAGCTTGTCAACTCGGGGAAACTGAAACTGGACGGGGGAGAAGACGGACTGGGGCTGAACGCACGGACGGTCATGCTGGATCGATTGGGACGTGGCAGAGGCCTGGACGGAGCGCCTGTAGGAACTGAAACTGGTAACAGCGAATGGAGGTGAATGGCTGGGGTTGGACGGTGACGAACCACACCGCCTGCAGTGGACAGACGAGTTGCCTGCTCCCAAGGGTGGTTGCAGGTGGCGCTGCTGTGGTGACTCGTCCACTATCCGCTCCGTACACAGGATACCTGGGTCCTGGAAGTCGTGTCTGATCTCCACTCCAGCTCAGGAGGGGAGGACGGGTGATGTCTGTGGAACGTGGTCCAACCAACTCAGTGGCGGTACTGGGCAGACAGCTCAGTGCTCAGAGAACTGAGTGATGTTTGGTGTCAGGCTGCAGGACATTATTACACTGAATCTCTTGCAAGATACTTGGCAGGCATAAGAAGACTACTCGTTTCACCGGCAGTTTAGTTCGCAACTCGTTCACCACCAGCATTTATTTGAGCACATCCATTTGAATGAGTAGTACTCAAGACTCACAACTAAGACCTCTTAAATTCACTACTTAAAAATAAAATACTAGCCCTTGCTGTCAATCGGTGATCACATGGACACAAAACAAAACACGAACGCAATGAGCCTCAATGTTAATACTGCAAAACGATTACAGCAAAGCCTGAAATTTGTCGACAACAATAGAAAAAAGTATTAGAAAAGCAATGCCGGTAAGGAATGATTTTAGGACTAAAGTACGTATCGCTAAAGTACGTAGGACAAAAGTACGTATGCAAATGTTCGTACGCAAATATACGTAGGCGATAAAGTTCGTATGCCAAAAGTACGTACGCAAATGTTCGTACGCAAAAGTACGTATGCAAAAGTACGTAGTGTATAGAGTACGTATGTCAAAAGTACGTACGCAAATGTTCGTACGCAAAAGTACGTATGAAAAAGTACGTAGTGCATAAAGTACGTAGGTATGCCAAAAGTACGTACGCAAATGTTCGTACGCAAAAGTACGTATGCAAAAGTACGTAGTGTAAAATGTACGTATGCTAAAAGTACGTACGCAAATGCTCGTACGCAAAAGTTCGTATGCAAAAGTACGTAGTGTATAAAGTACCTATGCCAAAAGTACGTACGCAAGTGTTCGTACGCAAAAGTACGTATGCAAAAGTACGTAGTGTATAAAGTACGTATGCCAAAAGTACGTACGCAAATGTTCGTACGCAAAAGTTCGTATGCAAAAGTACGTAGTGTAAAAAGTACGTATGCCAAAAGTACGTACGGTTCGTATGCCAAAGTACGTAGTGTATAAAGTACGTATGTTAGAAGTAGGGTATAGTCGTGTAAGTTGGGCCACTTTTTCTTTATTGCTGCTCTGTTGCCATACTGCAGGGAACTCATGATAAATTCATATACCAAATAATATAGCTTTGTCCATTTCGCCCATTTACTCATCAATAAATTTTGCTATGCCTTGTAACAAATGCTCATTAAATAAAGAATCAGAAAGGTATTACACATTGATCAACTTAACCCAAGGGTGGGGTACGTACTTAATACCCTTCGTACATTTGCTATACGTACTTTTGTCCGTGACGTACTTTTGTCCACACGTAGGGTAGACCGGGGCAAGTCGCCCCGCCGAGGTAAAACGCCTCACCGATGTTTCTCGGAACTGGCAGGGTTCTGGGGAAAGATCCTCTCTTCTGTTAATCTAGTGCAGGGGTCGGCAAATGGTGGGGCATGCCCCCTTTGGCGGTAATGGAGCCCTTTCGGTGGGGGTAATGAGGGATTCTGAGAAAGCCTATCTTTTTAGAGTTTGTAGCTCCAGTGATGGAGCCATCGTGACTGTTGCATCCCAGGGTTCAAAGATTAGCCGGGCCTTGGATTAGCCCAGGCCAAAGGCACAGCACACTATTGATTAGATACCAACTTTCACGTATGTACCTGCTCGCCTCACCATCTCACCCCTCCGTACAGTCGTTCAAAAGCAGCTGCAACTTTTAACCGTCGCCCGTCTGTTGGCGTTTCAACAGCCGCTAACGTAAGGGGGAGGAGTCGATCGGACCCCCGCGGCCTCTCGGACTCTGATATGGAGCTGTGCATAAAAAAGACGAGCGTGCTACCCGTGACCATAGGAAGCCGCTGCTGCCCATTTTTAAGGTCCTTGGTCATTCCGTCTCATTCAAGAGGGCAATGATAAGTGTCGAGAAAATCGGGACCCGCTATAACTTCTTGAAGTGAGATTTTATGGCTCAAGATGATCTCCATAAAAAGCTCATAAGCCAACGGTCATTATGGGTCCAGAGGCCAGTTTTACCAACAGAAAAATAGCCGCCTGCCGGAATTTTTGCCTAAAGATCGTTTCACATATGGAGCGTAAACGGTAAAGCCCTATCCGCTTACGAGCCCATCGCGTTTACGCTCCGAATGTGAAGCGGTCTTGAGGCAAAAATTCCGGCAGGCGGTTATTTTTCTGTTGGTAAAACTGGTCTCAGGTCATTTTCCGGGCTGGTGAAAAAAAAAAAAATGATGGGCTCGAGGGTACAATTTGGTCGTGATCCAATGCCTTTTACGTGAGTTTTTAACGAAAAACCACCCGCCGCCCCTATACGTACAATGGTTAAAGGGACTATCCCACCTTTACATTAAGTTTGAGTTGAGATAGCCAAGTTTTCGGCGAGGTTCAGAAACCACTATCTATCTAGGTTGCAACCCCCGCGGCCTCGTGGTGTTGAAGAAATTCGTTCCCTTCATTTGAAAATGGGCCTTGTACAAGGCCCAATCTCTTAACCATTAACGGCATTCTGATGACGTCATTTGCCCTTTGAACGCCTCTTACGCATTCGAGTAGAGTATCACTTGATTTACGAATAAGCTGGCGTTGGCTGACTCGGCGCCCCGGCGGCACCCAGCGGCGGCCTCGGCGATAATAATTGGGTTTGGACTTGGGTTTGGATAAATTTACCGTTTGTTTTATTTTTTCAATTTGTTTCCATTTCCTGAAATGGAAACAAGTTGAAGATTTGCTTTTTTAAGGCAGCAAGATTTATAAACATCGCCAAATTTATCATATGCAATTGGAGCTTGTTTCAGTTTTTATAGCAGGGTCATGAATATGATACAATTTTCTTTCAATGGTAGATTCGTCATGGTACAGTACAATTTCAATGGTTATTTCGAGTAATTTATGTCATTGAATTGAAACTGCAAGTACATCCCACAAAAGAGCTTATCCTCTTCAAGTTTCAGTCTTGATCCGACTGATTTGTCAAGAGTGCGAAAAGTGAGGCGACAAAAGAGAGCTACAGGTTTTTCAAGATTTAAGTGTTCTTGAATAGCAGGTTATACAACATTGTGCTGTGACATAACCACTGGGCCTTGTGCCCCCTGTGACAGAGCCCCTGCATCAGCTGGTCTGACACGGCTGGGCTCGCAAGTCGCAAAGAACGTCTTGGTGCTCTTAATTATGATTGATGCTTGTGCTGTAAAAGAAGGGTACCTACATGGCAAAATACATTTGTATGCAATTTCTTGCCACAGTACCCACCTACATGTACATTTTTGTTGTCTTTGTGTGAAAAATGAATATATTTTAAGGAAATTAAGGCATTTCTGTTTAAAGCATGCAGAAATTCATGTGTGATGCTGTCCCGGTAACTCATGTGGAACAGAACAGGCTGCAGACTCAGATCGTGCTTGAACAGAGACAATCATCAGTTATCTACATATGCGCATGCTTTGTAAGTTCCCTGCCTTTTCCCAGATTCTACTTGCTAGTTGTGAAAGGGATCGGACAAGGCAAGGTACTCATGCTCAATGCTCATGGTGCCACCATATGCAATTACTGACAGGTGAATTCGGTGACTAAAATCCTTAACACTCTATGGATAATTATTCTGCTCTTATGTTCAGTATGTTGATATCAGAAACTCACCGAGGTAACCTGCCCTGTGGCATTTCTTAGTTCAAAAATGTAAGCATTACACTCATCAGTCATGTAACTTGTATTTACATCCATGAACAAACAATGTGCAAAGGAGCTACCCAACCAGGTACAAGCAGTAGTGTCTACAGCGTAGCGCGTACCGCCTCCGCAAGGGGCGCGCCCCTCTACAATGGGCATGCGCGAACCCCTTCTCTGCAATGGGCGCGCCGGCGAACGTACGCGAGCGATCACGGGTCGCCACCACCAGCTGGCGAGTGACGGCGCAAGGCCATAAAACTACGACGGCGGGCCCGGCAGCAGCCGGCGCTCGGCAGGCGCTACAGCGCGCGTTGTGGGGGGGGGGAGGTGTTGGACGCGGGATGGGCGCACAGTCGCGCACCACGACCGACGGCGACATCACCTGCTGCGTCTGGCTCGGCGAGCGCAGCTGGGAGCCGGCTGGAACAGACAGAGCGGCGTCACGCGGGGGACGGGATAGACAGACACACGGGCCGACAAACTGGGAGAGATTCGAACGCCCGCACGGCAGCAGGGCAGGGAGCAAACATGCCCGCTATATTCACGTGTCGATTTTCATGACGTCAGTCTTGAGCACAAGCTGACTTCATCCCTACATCCCGTTTTACTTATAATCATAATTGAGGTCCTGGATCGGTACACCGGCTCAGTCACCTGTTGACGGCGGCGCACAGCGTGACCTACCCGCCCTTCAGCCGGCCCCAGCAGGGTGAGTAGTGAGTACTAATACCCGCCCCCATGCCAATGCCAAAATCACTAGCACTGAGAGTTTTATGGAAAAGCCCTCCTCAGCGGCCGGTATGAGCTGGCCGTGCGGCGGCCGCGACTGACCTGCGGCCGCTGAAGGTCTGGTGAGTCGGACGGGCACCTCCGGCACTGTCGGCAGGGCGGCCGATTTGAGCGCAGCGCTGTCCAGTCGGACTGACGGCAGCACAGAGACCAGCTGTCCGTGCAGGCAGTACCGGTGGCCCGAGTCGCTACTGCTGCGGACCCGGCCCGGTACCGGCGCCGGGTGGTGGCCGGCCGCGGCGGGGAGCGGGTCCGCCGTCCGCTCCGCGTCCCCGGCCGCCCCGCCGCCGCTCTCTGGACCGGCCGGAACGGTGACGGTGACCGCGCTGATCTGAAGGCACACCTCCAGACGCTCCAGGGCCGGCAGCCAGGCCAAAGTCGGAGCGGCGGGCGGCGCCGGCGGAGTGGGGGAGACGGCCGCCGCAGCGGGGGTGTTGGGTGACACTGCAGGTAGGTTCCTCTCCGTGGTGTGGCTCCGTGCCGATCGCGAGGTACCTGAGTGTCCGTGCGGCCGGGGCACATCCACGGCCGGCGAGCGGCGGCCGGAGCGACTAGACGCCCGGCCCTCCGCTGGCGGCGGCGGCGGCGGCGGCGGCTGGGGCAGTGGCGGCGGCGCCGGGCCACTCAGCTGCTGGCCAGCTGAGTGGCCAGGGACAGCCAGAGCAGCAGTGCCGGCTGCCAGCAGAGCAGGGCCGGCTCAGAGACGACCACCAGCAGCGGGCAGCTGTCCGCGGCGGCGGCAGCTGTCGGCAGCTGCAGCAGCGCCCGTACCGCCCGCTCGCCGCCGGGAGCCGGCGCGTCGGCCGTCGGTCGTCGTCGGTCGCGGCCGAGACCAGCACCGCCTGGTCAGCCGTCACCTGTAGGGCGCACGGGGAAAAGGGATACAGTCAGGAGCCGCGGCCGTAGTTATTCATTTCCAATCGACAATAGGGCATTGGAGCAGTGTTCCCGCCACTTCTAATGAGTAGTTATGTCGAGCCTACCACAGTGTACTTCACAACTAGAAAACGCACTCAACAATAATCACACAACAACGGCACACTCTCAGGGCCATTCTAACAAAACACCCGCGGTTATAATTAGCATTACTCGGTATAATGACTGACCGTGCATCGTGTGTGGACGTGGCAGTTGTAGAGCAGCGCAGCGGTCGGCCGGCGCCGCTCAAGCTGGGAGACACACCGGCACAGCCGGGACGGGTACATGGGCTGCTGCTCGTTCCACTGGATCGTCTGACAGCGCAGCTGGAGACGCACCTCACCGGCCTGAGGACGGGGGAACCGGGACAGATAAACAATACACCAGGGGCCGTATTCACGTCGACTTCGTAAGTCGATTTTCTTTCGTAAGTATAATTTGGTATTCACGTCAACACTTCATGAGTTTTTATCGACGGAGTTCACGTGAATAAAAAAGTTTACTTAAGAAGTAGGTCAAACTTAAGAAAAGTCTTACGAAATGATCGACGTGAATACGGCCCCAGCAATACTGGGAGACGCACCTCACCGGCCTGGGGACGGGGGAAGACTGGGTGATACAACCGGGACAGACAAATAACACAGCTGCTGTAGACGTATATACCTCGGCCTGGTGACCGCGCGCGGGTGATGCGACTTCATAGATCAACAGCGATCAGCCGGATCATCGGAGCAAAAAAGCACGCATCTCAGGAGCCCATCTCCTTGCAAGTCTGCGATCATATCTCAACGCCTAACTGCAGCAGCTCTTCAAACAATGAAGCTGATGCTGCCTTTTCGAACATCCCCGCTATGCACGGACCCACGCCTCCCAGCTCCCCGTTGGCGGCCACCACTGTCAGCCGCCGCCCCTTCCTCCGCTGCGCGGAGACCCACCTTTTCCAAGTCTCCATGGCCAGCCACCACGGTGACTCGCGGCTCCAGCACCGTCAGCTACAGGCCGCGAGCCGGGTGTTGGCCTCCAGCGCCGCCGCCTCTCCGTGCGGCACTGGGCCCGGGCGGGCCTCTCCGTCCGCTGCGGGAGAGGGCAGAGGGTAGAGGAGAAGGTCAGGGCGGGCCTCCCCGCCTGCAGCAAAACAGGGGGAAGGAGCGGTCAGGTGGGTCTCCCCGTCCGCTGCAGGAGAGGGCAGAGGGGCGTTAGTGATAGTGGGCAGATGAAACGGAATGTTTATTTCAAAGATATACGCTTTTTCACTAGTACGGCAACTACACTTCTCAGAGGTGAAAATCGCTGATATAATTGGGACGCACTGCCGAAAAAGAAGGAACTTGCAAGTCACAAGCAGCGATGGGGACGACTCATGAAGAACAGTGCATCATGTTAAACAACTTCAAGCTAACTCTGAGCGCTACTCAGTACACACTACTCACCCTGCTGGGCCGGCTGCAGGGCGGGTATTGGTACTCACTACTCACCCTGCTGGGCCGGCTGTAGGGCGGGTAGGTGACGCTGTGCGCCGCCGTCAACAGGTGACTGAGCTGTCAGAAAGTCACACGTCAATAAACGAGTCCTTTCTACACGCTGCGTCTAAATCACTCTAATGGACGTTACAAAAACACGCCAGGATTCTACGATCCTTGTCCAGTTTCTGCAGCAGCAGCGCGAGTCACTGGCAGCGCTGTTGCTGCCAGACGACGGCCGTCGGCGCCCGGCGCACGCGCGCCGCGCACCGGTCGGCGTGTCAGCTGGTAGCGGCTGTGCGCTGCCAACGCCGGCGCAGCAGCTGGCGGAACACGACAACCTGGCGGGTCGCATGGCCGGGTCAGAGGGGGAGTGGGAGCCGACAGGGTCAGCCACATCACAGTGGATGCCTACCTCACCCCACACTGACAAAGTGCCACCATGCCAGGAAAATGTTTCACCTCAGAACAGCATGAACCTAGAAAGAAAACAGGATTGCATAGCTCCTGTATAGAATAGTCATAGACATAAAGCATATACTCAAATTATTGAGCCATAGCCAAGATTTGACTGAGGGAGGGGCCACAGGTCGCGGCCTAGTGTCGTACCCCCTCCAAAAAGGAAAACTCGGATTTGGCCTACTATTTTTGGGGGTATGGTACAGCTGTTTTTATTTATCTTTATTTTATTTTATTTAATTTCTCGCCTTTGGGGTAGACCATGACAGCCGTGGCCACTCCCTTGGCTACATCCCTAGATTGAACGAAGAAGCAAATTGAAGAAGCAGCTTTGACCATAGGCGCAAACATAATATGGAACAGACTACATTTTTATGCAGTATGTTATGAAGTCAACATTGCATGCTTTATATAGGTAATCTAATCTTCACCAATCCATTTTGTTAAGCACTTATCTACTTTTCTAGTTTCAATTGATTGGTCAATGCTCGTATACATAATTATCAGCATTCAAATATATGATGCTGAGACATGTTCAATCTCTGACCAACTCCCTGTATACAAAAGAAATAATTGTAGCATTATGCATAGGGTCATAACATACTGATCACTTTCTGTCAACAGCCTGCAAGCAGCATTGCGATCTTCCCTCCGCAGTGATGGAGACCTCTGTCATGTGCGCATGGTGTTTGTGTTGTGTTGGTATTCAAGAAATTTCAACAGCTAAGAAGGAAAAACAAAACATTTCTTTAAATACCTGCATGTTTGCTATAATAGCAAGCTAGGATGCAATGAGTATAAAAGTATACAAAATCCCAATCAATAGGTTCAGAATGGAATAGGTTGTGAGGTGTTAGGTACTGTAGTAGGCTGGTTGAAAGGTTTGTATGTTGTAGACATCTGGCATGGGGGTTTTAGGTTGGTATTAAGGGTATTACAAACTTTTTAGGAAAGTAGGTAAGGTTAGGTCAGGAATGTTGATTATTTTCATTCAAATTTCACACTTGTTCACTTAAAATGTATTCAAAATTGACACAAATTTTTTAAAAGTTATGGTGAAAATATGTTCCTTTCCTATGTGAATTGTGATGTTAGTATTTGAATTTTATATGCAGGAAGTCAAACACACTTACATTGACTATCATACCACCAACTACAAAATGCCCAATCAGAGACACTTTTGTTATGGTATGAGCCGCGTCATATTTGAAAGCAAATATATTTGCTGCCAAATTTCCCCCTTCATTGGCATGAAGTAAATCCTTCATTACGTCACAGATCCGATCTAAATGACGTCACGATGAAATATAAAAGTCGCAATATTTCAAAAAGTATACAATGAAAACGCGTAAAAACTTGCAGAATTCGTCACAGTGCCCTAAGTAACATTTCCGAATCCTAAACGGGATTTTTTCGAAGGTGGGATAGTCCCTTTAACTGGGATATAGCATAGGCGGCGGAACGGGGAGGGCACCGGGGCACCGTGCACCCTTTGATTTTGCATTTTAACATTAGCCCTATGGGCGTTGCATGGAAAGAATGGGACCAAAAGTCGGCAGTGCTGCCCCCTCCCCCTTAATTGAAGGTGTTCCGCCGCTACTGGGATATAGGCATTAAATGTTTTGTGGAGGAAGTGTCATGTTTTAAATTTGATGCATTGGAAATGCACAAATACCCAAAGAGTTCCAGGACGGTATGGAATTTCAGTAAACATAGTTGTGTCAGCAATGGGGTCTGGTAGGTGGGGGCAATGGCCCTGCCTGGCGCCCAAAAAGGGGGCACGACCCCGAATGACCTGCCGACCACTGATCTAGTGTATGGGGCTTCTTGCCTCAGGCCGTGGGGTGTTTTGCCCTGGGGTTGGGGAAAATACCCCATTTGCAGTTGCTTCACAAAGCACTTCCTAGCTGGGAGTCCGATCATAAGTGAATGAATTTGAGGGGTGGAATTTAAAGTAAAATGTCCAAAGAACACATTGAGCACAAATTTGGCCTTCCAGGTGATGTGAGACAAAAGTAGGTACCTATGTAGCAAAATAAATTATCTGTGGCGTCTTGCCCAAGGCTACCCTACTTTATACCCTACGTACATTTGCTATGCGTAGGCTTTTGTACGTGACGTACTTTTGTCCATACGTACTTTATACCCTACGTACTTCTGCGATACTTACTTTTGTCCGTGACGTACTTTTGTCCATACGTACTTTTTACCCTACGTACATTAGCTATACGTACTTTTGTCCGTGACGTACTTTTGTCCATACGTACTTTATACCCTACGTACTTTTGCGATACGTACTTTTGTCCCTGACGTACTTTTGTCCATACGTACTTTATACCCTACGTACTTTTGCGATACGTACTTTTGTCCCTGACGTACTTTTGTCCATACGTACTTTATACTGTACGTACTTCTGCGATACGTACTTTTGTCCTTGACGTACTTTTGTCTATACGTACTTTATATTGTACGTATTTCTGCGATACGTACTTTTGTCCCTGACGTACTTTTGTCCATACGTACTTTATACTGTACGTACTTTTGCGATACGTACTTTAATCCTACGTACTTTTGCTTACGTACTTTTGTCCTACGTACTTCAGCGATACGTACTTTTGTCCGTAACCCGTAAGGAATACGGTCGACCAAAGTTTTTTTTTTTCATTCTAAGACATGCATTGGTATAGGATGATGTTCACTGTTCAGTCTCATCGAGTGAAAAAATCTATCTAAATCATGATCATCACATTAAATTAGTCTCATAGCACATACTTGGAGTCTCTAGATGCTCTCACAACAGTGTAAGTGTTACACAACTAGCGTGAATATGAGTGTATAATCCTTTGGCGTCGGCCTCTAAACGACCTTTGTGACGATATTATACATAACCACATAAATAGCAAGGCCACATTATATCACGAAGTTGAAACGTTCACAATGATACTGACCAAGTACAGCTAAGCCAACACACACATCGATCTAACAAAACGCTTCATCCTACTCTTCCTCCCTCTCAACGATCCAGTCCACCTTACACTGTCTGGGCCTGGCCGGCGCCCCCGGAGAACTCCTTGCCTCCTCAGGGACCCAGGGTTCCCCTCCGCATGTGCCTCCATAGTTAAAGCGCCCGTCAGGTGTCTCCCGGAATCCTCTCCGACGCTCCACCGCCACCCTATGGGAACTATAAACTCCCTCTCGCGGCCTAGGACGCTCTCCAACGACTCCAGACGCTCTCCAACGACTCCAGACGCTCTCCAACGACTCCAGGCCCTCTCCAACGACTCCGCACGCTCTCCGACGACTCAAGGCCCTCCGATGACGACTCAACACGCCCTCTTACGACTCTAGCTGCCTTCCGACGCCCCTAAGCGCAGGTGACTCTCATGGAGCGCGAGCTGCTGTCGCGGTAGGTGAAGTAGACCAGGGTGGCGAGGCGGCCGGCCAGCGATACACAGGCGGTGACCAGCGCGATCATCAGCAGGGTGGGTGTGCTGCCCGTGGCGATATCGTAGTTCTTCTGGTAGACGGCGGACAGAGCCCACCCAGCACTGAGGGAGGGGACGACAGACGGTTATATTTCACTCAGACGGTGCGAGTTAGAGACTATGGACAAACTGGGGTCAGAGATAAAGGACGATGGAAATTTTTGGGAACAAACTGACACCCTCAGTCCTTCAGATAAAGTTGAAATGATACCAAAGACGATATCGTGTTAAAGTGATCGTATATCGTGCACGTATTATTACGAGCGAACGAGCGCAGCGAGCGAAGCGAAGTCTTTTCAATATAACGGAAAAATCTCAGAGAGCGGCCCGGCCCGGCCCGGCCTGTAACGCTTTTGAGAGGCTTATATCTCAGCAACCGCTGGACCGAATGGCCTGCGGTCTTTTTTGCTGGGTAGCCCCATCCCTTCTACCCCGTAATTGACTACTTTTGATACATCTCAGTGACCGCCGTGGCACGTGCCACGTGAAAAGTCGAGGGTGTTCAAGCAATTTTGCAAAAGTAATGATTTTTAGAGACCCATATCTCAGCAGCGGCTTGAGCGATTGTCTTGCGGTCATTTTTATAGGGTAGCTGCATCCCTTCTACCAAAGGTCGGATACTCTTCATCTATGTGAGTGACCCCCACTGCACGTGCAAAATACAACAATAAGAGGTGCCAAATTTGTTCCCATTTCAGTAACTCGGTAATTACTGGGGCGATTTCGCTGAAACTTGGCATACAGGTAGGCACCCACCAGGCAATGCATTCCCATGTGTTGCGGTTAGGGTGCTACTGCACGTGCGCACGTGCAGGGGGCGTTTCCAGATCTCGAGAACGGCTGGGCCGATTGCGCTCAAATTTGGTACACGGTTGGGAACCGGTTAGTAGGGTGCCGTGCAAAAGTCATTTTGGACCCCGTTTGCACGTGCGCACGTGCAGAATGCCGCTTCCAGATCTCAGGAACGGCTGGGCCGATTGCGTTCAAATTTGGTACACCGCTAGCGACCGGTTAGAAGGGTGCTTTGCACAAGCCCGTTGGAAGTACCCTCTCGCCCTTCTGCACGTGCAGGGCTCACTATCTCGCTCGCTCGTTCGACACTCGACTCACCGAATCCGGGTGTGATGGTCCAGCGCGTGTACTTATCCAGCACGGTGATCTCGAGGAGAAGCCAGATGACGATGGAAGCGGCCAACACACCGGCAATGGCCGAGCTGGCTACCTCGTTAGAGCCCTGGGAAAGGCGGAGGGGAGAGATATCAGAACACTATATAAGGATGAACTGGCTATCTTGTTAGAGCCCTGGAAAAGGCGGAGGGAGAGAATGCCAAGAGGGGAAGGAAGATCATCCCCTCCCACGTGCCAACTGGGAGCGTGCTAACCAGGAGGGCGACACGACCTAATGAATAGACACGTATGAACGACTTACACATACTGTCTAGTCGTAAACGCTTGTTTCAAGCCAAGCCGCTGTAACTGACAGAATGACGGAAGTCGTCCAAAAATCGACCGCTATGAGGGCTCAGTGTTCCGGTAGCCCCGCCATCACCCAAGGTCGGCTAACATATATCGGTAACTATCAGCCACCGCTGGCAAACATGCGCTCCATTTCCTCGGCCAGCGTGCGTTATCGGCCGGTTGGCGCTATCGTCCGGCCGGGCGGAGCAACACAGACAAAACGGAGCGCATCCGACGAGCAGAGAGCACCAGCAGGAGGCACGTCGGGTAGTTGTATACATTAAATACCGACCTAATGCAATGTTGTGGTTGTTAATGGTGAAGGCGTGGGAGTGATCTCGAGCGTGAGTACAGCCAAAATTCGAAAACATATTTCGATTTGGTGATGTTCAGAAACGTGAGAAGCTGCCAGCGAAATGAATGACGTTACGCATGTTTTAGGTATTGCCGGTGAATCATGTGCCGCTGGAACTGCCGCCAGTGCTTGCTGAGTCAACAGCAGAGGCGGTGCAGCCGTGTAACACACAGTCTCTGAATGCGTGAGTCAACAAACCTCGACTCTCATATATCGAATCCTATGTCGACGGGGAACGAGTGTGCGCGACAGAATGCCAATCAGTCAATAGCAGACGCTGTATCAATACGCATAATGGGCGTTGCATGAAACGTCAAAGGTCCACAGAACCCTAGACAGCGCTCACTATCGGCAGTAGCAATTGCATGACAGAACGATTTTATACCGTACAATGAAAAGGCATCGTTCACAAAGTGCAAGCTATGCTTTGGATGGGTATGGTTTTTTTAGTCTAAAAATTAAAATACACAATTAGAGTTATTACTGCCCACGCTTTCACGCAACCCAAGTCGAATCACTGCGCCGTCCGCAACCCCCCAAATCTCACTTTCCTCTGAACTGCGCGCCCGCACTCACTCACCTCCCCCACATAGACGATGACCACGTCGAGGTTGATGAGCGCCGCTATGATGGTCCAGGTGGTGTACAGGGCCAGACCGTTGTGGACGCACGTCTTGACGTACCAGTTCTCCCGCGGGGTGGGAGGCGGCTGAGCGAACTGGGCACGGTAGTAGCTGAGGGGGACATAACAAACATCGGTCAATAGAAGGACTCATGGGTTCGGTAGTACTTGAATGGTACACAGCGGTCGGAGATGTTTGCTGACGGCAAAGCAGAATGCATGCTTAGCTACTGTTTTCGGTACTTGATCAGTGTAAAGGAATACTTAAACTAAACGTCAACATAACAGTAGAGTCTACAAGCAGCAGCTCCTGTTGCTATTACAGTGCAGGGAGAGCACCTTCTGCTATCATTACCCTGCGCTGTTTAATATCGTCAAAGACCCGGGACTACAGCGGCCTGATTACCGAATGTGAAGGACGACCAGCGCTGAGGACGTTGCAGAGCGCCAGCAGCAGCAGCAGCACGCAGGCTGCCGTCAACTCCTCGTAGCCCCAGGCGAACAGCCAGCCAACGTTCACGCAAAAGCTGGCGATGATGAGCAGCCAGAAGGACAGAGGGAGGGTGACCGGGGTCAGGTAGACGGGGCCGGCGTCCGTCCGCCGCCACAGCTGGCTCAGACCTGTGGGACGGGGGACAGGGGTCCGTCAGTGACCGGGGTCAGGTAGACGGGGCCGGCGTCTGTCCGCCGCCACAGCTGGCTCAGACCTGTGGGACGGGGGACGGGGGACAGTCAGTGACCGGGGTCAGGTAGACGGGGCCGGCGTCCGTCCGCCGCCACAGCTGGCTCAGACCTGTGGGACGGGGGACGGGGGACAGTCAGTGACCGGGGTCAGGTAGACGGGGCCAGCGTCCGTCCGCCGCCACAGCTGGCTCAGACCTGTGGGACGGGGGACAGTCAGTGACCGGGGTCAGGTAGACGGGGCCGGCGTCTGTCCGCCGCCACAGCTGGCTCAGACCTGTGGGACGGGGGACGGGGGACAGTCAGTGACCGGGGTCAGGTAGACGGGGCCAGCGTCCGTCCGCCGCCACAGCTGGCTCAGACCTGTGGGACGGGGGACGGGGGACAGTCAGTGACCGGGGTCAGGTAGACGGGGCCAGCGTCCGTCCGCCGCCACAGCTGGCTCAGACCTGTGGGACGGGGGACGGGGGACAGTCAGTGACCGGGGTCAGGTAGACGGGGCCGGCGTCCGTCCGCCGCCACAGCTGGCTCAGACCTGTGGGACGGGGGACAGGGGACAGTCAGTGACCTGGGTCAGGTAGACGGGGCCAGCGTCCGTCCGCCGCCACAGCTGGCTCAGACCTGTGGGACGGGGGACGGGGGACGGGGGACAGTCAGTGACCGGGGTCAGGTAGACGGGGCCAGCGTCCGTCCGCCGCCACAGCTGGCTCAGACCTGTGGGGACGGGGGACGGGGGACAGTCAGTGACCGGGGTCAGGTAGACGGGGCCGGCGTCCGTCCGACGCCACAGCTGGCTCAGACCTGTGGGGACGGGGGACAGGGGACAGTCAGTGACCGGGGTCAGGTAGACGGGGCCGGCGCCACAGCTGGCTCAGACCTGTGGGACGGGGGACCGGGGACAGTCAGTGACCTGCGGAGCACGGAACCTGAGTCTCCACACCTGGGTAAGACGTATTGACATGGCGGGGGCGTCAGCCAGGGACCTGTCAATGGTAACTGAAGTATACGGCACAGACGTGATCGCAGCTGTGCCAGATTTATCGAAGGGATGACACCCGTGGTGAGGTCAAGATACATTTTCTTTTTAGATTGTCGACAGTCGACAGAATGCTGTAGCCATGGCCAGATAAGGTGGAACGTTTAATCGTGCCGCTATTTCATCTCTCCACAAATACCGATCTTTTATCGCGTATCTGACCGCGATAGCCGCGCTTACCGCAAAACCACTTACCACTAAAACGCACTGATGTTGCATAACGCTTAGACCATGTCCTATGAGAGGACGATTCTGATGTAATTTCGACCGGCAAAAAAACTGCGTATCCCGTAATGTGCGCTTCACCGATATGCACGGACAAGGCCGGCTTTTAGCGTCTTGCAGCCAGTCACAAATCACAATGCCTTCATACCAACATGGCACGGGCGGTCGAGGGGTGTACCACAGGGCAAACAGTCTTCCGTCATCAGCCCAGCAACGGCCACCGATACATAAATGCACAAGTAAATACACTATCTTTCAGAAATAGACACAAACTAAGCCCTCACCGATCCCGGACATGGCCGCCGGCGCTAGTGCTCAGTGTGGCGGCGTGCGTGATTCGTGAGGGATGTGACCAGCGGGCTCAGCGACTAACCATAGACGAGTCTACTCACCCGCCCTGGACAGCGACTCAGTGACTCAGTACGACTCAGTACGACTCACCGTAGACGAGTCCGATGCCGAGCCAGGTGTAGATGATGCCCCAGATGGCGAAGGCCCAGCCGATGGGCGTGATGAAAACCTCGTGTGTGTCCGATACGTCGGCGGCAGACTTGGGCACGATTCCTGAGGGGGAGGGGGGGGGGGACGGTCAGAGGCCGGTCAAACAGGTCAGAGACAGGCTAAGTCAGTCAGCCGGCGCAGGGCATACACGGACTTGGAAACACCGACGGTGGACGGAGGCGGAGTTTCACAGAAAGGACAACATCGGCGGCCACTTGACAGCACAACCTGCGTAAAGCGGCACTGGTGTATTGAAGCGATGTTGTTGTGACACATACTCGAATACGCATGTCAATATCGACAAAAATAAGGCTATTTGACAACAGCCATGACAAAATGGATACGATGTCTGATCACTGATGGCCTCTCCGACCCTGATCACCGCTCGCCCCACCTCTCGCGCCGTGCCCGTCTCTCCCGGAGTCCCCAGACCACTCACCAAGACTGGCGTTGCTGGAGGCGTAGTTGAAGAACAGCGTCAGCGCGTACAGAGGCAGCGCGATCACCGTGCACGCAAACTGCGCCTTCTCCTTCGGCGGTAGCCCCATGGCGACGTCAGATGCTCCCCCGCTGCTGTCTACGGTCAGCCCTCAGTCTTCGCCCTCCCGTCCAGTCGCCGCTCTATCTCCGACTACGCTGGCTCGACCTCCGACTACCGCTCGCCGACACACGCGCCGCCCGCCCGCCGCCGACTGTTCCGCGCCCGGCCGCTGTGACCTTCAGTCTCCACCTGCGTCCGCTCCGCCGTCCGCCGCTCCGCCCGTCGGTCTGACTCGGAAGAGGGCCGCACAGTGAGTCCTCTCTCCTCTCTCCCGATATGTATGGAGGGGAGGATGGGAGAGGGTTATGTAACAACCGCGTGATATCACGAATCGCCGCTAAACTAATGCTCACTTCACTACTGACGCCGTGGCGCTCACACCCCAGCTCTTATATAACGCCCGTGACGTCACTCGTGCCTCGTGTGTGTGACGTCACGTGTTTGCGGTGTGGGCGGGGTCCGAGTGAGTCGATGGATAATTCAGCGATAACAAAGCGCGTGCGATGTACGACTGCGATCGATGGTAGCCAATGACATTGTCGAGCCAGCGCAGCTGGTGCGTTCCGTCTCCATAGCAACCAGGCCCGAGTCAATGGGAAACGTAAACAGTGGCAGTATGACGTCATATTCCAGAAATACGCCTCGCGTGCCCTCAAAATACCGTAGCGTACGACTGAAATAACTAAACAGCCCGTGATCCACACGACTAAAAAGTCTTGCAGCTACGCGTCGGGCGATTGCAAGCACATTGCACAACACAAATATATAACTATCGACATTTGTGGTGATTACAAGTTACAACTCCTCAAATAACACTTCTTATTTCATTCAGAAGGGGTTCGTAGACTGCAGACGCGCTGGCACATTGTCCCCTAGCTTCTTGGAGAGCAAAAGGACGCCTCAACTTCGTACAGGCAAGACTCTTAAGTCCAAACGAGCCAGACGCAAATGCAAATGTTCATAGGACAGCTCATAGGTGCCAGTCAGGTGCCAGTCACCCTCCAGGCGCCCGCTGACGTCAGAACAGTCGAGTGACGTCAGCAATCTCAATTGTTCCGAGGAACGAGCCCGAGAGTCGGCGAATGACAGCTGCTCTGTGTGCACCGCAAATAGTGTGGGCGGGGATATATGGGTTAATGATGGCTGGTCACACGGAAAGGTTTATCCTTCGATAGTACGCTTTACTCTTTCGAGACAGAAATGTCATGCGTTCGCTGTAAAATCACAGACTCAAGAAAGACCGTCTTTCTTGAGTTGTTCCCGTCTTTCAAAGACGGAACAAACGAAGAAAATGTTACTGGCATCTAAATGTCACTACTGAACTCAATTTTTAATGGTCTGTGCCCTAAAGGACGAAATATTTTAGCTGTGAGCCGTCTGACAATGCAAAAAAAAAGAATTATGTAGCTATACTTGTATTTCTCGCCCCGCAGCGATACCAATGTCACAGCGACGCGGATATATATCTCACCATTTTCAGCGTATCTGGACCGCGACTGGAAGACTGACAGCTTAGCCAGGTACGAGTATAACCGTCACGACAATACACATCCGAAACACGCTATCGCAAAGATATCATGGGCAGATACGTAACGGTACCATGCCATAGATCTAACTTCAGCACAAAAAAAAGAGCCAAAACACAGAGTAGTGCTTTGCCTTAAATGCTAGTACCATAATCATTATGCGAACTTAACAAAATATTATGGAATACACCCAACACTAACAAATAACGTTACCAATGTGTACCAAGGTTGTATCCTTACCAAGGTGACGATACAATCCGTACTTATATCATGTGAAGTGGAAGCCCAGATCGGTAAAGTTCACCACCAAAAGGGCCACGTTCCGAGCTTACCAAAGCGCACACTGCCGCTGCCGAGTCGAAATATCCAGCTCACAAGGCAAAGCACACACCGAAAGTCCTACCTGAGTTAACGGCACAAGCCAAAATTATCATCCCGGGCGGACCGTCGAAAGAGCAGAGGATAAACTTCACATTAGTTGTATACCCACAATGTTCTAGTCTATCAGATCTCACTCAGACCCAGGTTTAGCTATAGTAAATCCTTGTGTAAAGCCCACTGCAGTACCGGAGGGCTGAGTCCCGACATTCCCCTCCCCCTTCCTTCTTCCCAGACTCGGCTCTTGTATCACAATCAAACGGAATTTATGCTGTTTTCACCAGTTCCCGCTCATGCTAATTCCTCTTAATGCTACTATTACCAGTTGGAGCAAGAAGCACAACTCTAATGCCCTAATTTTACCGACCAAGTCCCATTTCTCCCGGAGTGGGGCGCCGTGCCCACTGTCCTTACTGAGCCTGTCCCAGCCCCGCACCCCTCCCCTGCCGCCCCCACCCAGCCCCTTTAATACCCCCCCCCGCCCCCGGACACCCCGTCCTCCAGCGGCACTCGGTTGGTCCCACGAGTTACTCCGTCGGCAGTGTCCAGTCCTCAGACCGGGTCCGAGTCGGATCCCGACGCCGCCGGCCGCTCGGACTCCGCCCGGCGTCCGGGCTCCGGGACCGGTCGGGCCGCTGAGGCCCCCGGACCGGCCGCCGCCGCGCCAGCCTCTGTAACACGGGGATCGGGGCTCGTCAGGGCGGGTGACTGACCGCTGGCGTCCGAAAATTTGAACGAATTTATACACTACACAGGACGGTGATACGTTGACAGGCACAGCTCAAACAACCCGCTAAAGCAGACATCACAGTGGTAAAAATTGTGGAAATAACTAGGCAAAGTAAGATTATGAAAAACCTCTGGAAAAAACGAGCGTGGTGTATGTGTATGGGACGTGGTGCTTACCATTGGGCTCAGCCTGCGGTCGGACCGGCTGGCCGGGACGGTGTTTCGGCACGGCCCCGGTACGCGGCGCCACCGTCGCCCCAGCTGTGCCTCCCTCTCCGGAGGTCGCCATCGGAGCCTACAGACGAACAGACACGGAGAGTGGTCAGAAAAATAGGTAAACGCGAGTGTCCCGCTTCGATAACGGAGGAAAACGGGATTTTGAAGTGTTCGAAAAGAAACAGAACGACAAACTACTTGGAAGATCCGGTAACAAGAAAAGCTAGAAATGCTACGATGAGGTAAGTTCATACATTAAAAGCAAACACTTCTCAAATACATTATTAGAGCAATATTTTAACGTAGTTTTATTGTTTAACAACCTCCACTGAAGCAGTTACTAATCAGCGGCACATTTCCACCCTGCGCAGTGACGCGAAAACAACCAGTCATCGTCTATCGATCGACTCACCGCTTCATCCACGAGTCTGACGTCATCAGCCGTGCGAATGACGTCACCGGGGGCCTCGGGGTCAGGAGCGGGAGTGCCGCAGGTGCCGGCGGCCGAGGCAGCGCGCTCCGGCTCCCGGCGCCACCGCGTCTGGGACAGAGCGCGCAGAGAGGAGCGTCAGACGACCCGGCGGACCCATCCAGACTCCAGTCTACCAAAACATGGATCAGGCTGAACCGCTGAGCCAGGTCCAGACTGGCCTTTCTTACATGTGGAATATATTACATTCAAATAAATACATGCGTCGAAAATTACATAAAAGGGTGCTCCAAAACCACAAACACAGAGAAACAAATATTAACTCACTAAAGAAAATGCTCGTGGAACAGAAGACAACCGGCCTGGGTTAACCAAACTGACAATCCATAATCCATTCAATGTTACGCTATCCACGCTCCCACAAGTATCGTACTATCGGTGAGCACCCTCCCTTCCTCTCTCCGGCCCCCTCCCTTCCTCTCTCCGGCTCCCTCCCTTCCTCTCTCCGGCTCCCCCCTCTCTCCCGGCCGCTGCTCACCCGTCGGAGGCGGCGGGGCACCCGGCGGCTGGGACGGGCGCCGGCCGCCGCCGCCGGGAGGTTCTGGGCCTGGACACACGCAGGAGCATCGACCGTCAGAGGGCGGGCACCGGGCGCGGCGCGACGGCGGACACCAGGACGAACCGAGGGGCAGAACATTGTGAGCGATGACAGCAGGGTTGGCAGGGGGGTGGCAAAAACTGGTTTTTGCCAGTGGTTTTAACCGGTTTAAACCGGCTGGCAGAAACCCTGGTGGCAAGAACTGGCAAAAACTGGCTAAAACTCAAATGGCCAAACCTACAACTTTTCTAGTTAGGAATGGATTTGAAATGTACAAATGCATTTCTGGTAGTTATATAGATGCACTTAACATTCTAAAGCTGCCTCATTACTTATCCCTGCTTAAACTGTCTATGCATTCGGTAGACATCCACAACGGAACGTATTTCCATGTAGGGGAGAGTGGGGCAAGACAGCCACGGTAAGTAAGGTGCCATGCGGTGCCGTGCGCATATCAGTGGCAGATGCCCCTTCGCATTTCTGATTGTGTAGGACTCACCCAGTCACCCTTGCACTGGCTCATTTGTCACCCCAAAAGGCATCTTACTAGCTCCTTATGGAAAGCCCATGAAAATGTTTGAGTTATGAAGCATTTCAATGGTCAATGTCACTTCTGTTTGAAAGCATAAAGCTTTCACCGAATTCTCCTTAAAATGCTTCATGTTCAAATTCATGTCCAAGCATAGCATTGTGATATTTCTTAGTTTTTGCCAGTTTTTGCCACTTTTTGCCGGTTAAAACCGGTTTAAACCGGCAAATGGCATAAACTAGTTTTTGCCGGCAAAAATGCCAACCCTGGATGACAGGATATCCAGATGTGAATATAAATGGCACAGTGGTGGTGAAAATACATAATGAGTGGCTCATATGGCTACTGTTTTTGTCACTAATTTGCTCGGAGCTGTTATGGAACTTCCCTTTGTGAAAGCCTTCTATCCTTTCCTATCAATAAAAGACGACCCATTCCAACTGACGATTCAAAATTTACGAGACGAAAACTTTGACAGGTATGTACACGTTGCTACAGCAAAATGCAGATGACTGCTGGCGTCCGTTCCCGTAGCGAGGGTAAAATAACCTCACTCTCTACACACCCTCTCTCACTCTCCCTTCCCCTCCCTCCCTCGCTCTCGCTCTCGCTCGCTCTCGCTCTCTCTCGCTCTCGCTCTCGCTCTCTCTCGCTCGCTCTCGCTCTCTCTCTCTCTCTCTCTCTCTCTCTCTCTCTCTCTCTCTCTCTCTCTCTCTCTCTCTCTCTCTCTCTCTCTCTCTCAGGCACTGACCGTCAGTGTTGCTCCGTACGAGCGCCGGGCGGGCGGCGGCCTCTGGGACCGGTACACGGGCAGCAGCTGATCGTCCTCCGACTCTGAGACCAGCACGGCCAGCGTGGCAGAGACCAGGCGCCGCTTGCAGACCGGACAGACACGGCGCGAGCGGAGCAGCCACGGGTCCACGCAGTGACAGTGGAACGCTGGGGAGGGGGGGGGGGTCAGACAGCAGCCACGGGAGGGTGGTGGTGGGGGGGGGGGGGGGTCAGACAGCAGCCACGGGAGGGTGGTGGTGGTGGGGGGGTCAGACAGCAGCCACGGGAGGGTGGTGGTGGGGGGGGGGGTCAGACAGCAGCCACGGGAGGGTGGTGGTGGGGGGGGGGGGTCAGACAGCAGCCACGGGAGGGTGGTGGTGGGGGGGGGGTCAGGCAGCAGCCACGGGAGGGTGGTGGTGGGGGGGGGTCAGACAGCAGCCACGGGAGGGTGGTGGTGGGGGGGGGGGTCAGACAGCAGCCACGGGAGGGTGGTGGTGGGGGGGGGGGTCAGACAGCAGCCACGGGAGGGTGGTGGTGGGGGGGGGTCAGACAGCAGCCACGGGAGGGTGGTGGTGGTGGGGGGGTCAGACAGCAGCCACGGGAGGGTGGTGGTGGGGGGGGGGGGGTCAGGCAGCAGCCACGGGAGGGTGGTGGTGGGGGGGGGGGGGGGTCAGACAGCAGCCACGGGAGGGTGGTGGGGGGGGGGGGGTCAGACAGCAGCCACGGGAGGGTGGTGGGGGGAGGGGAGTCAGACAGCAACCACCGGTCCACGCAGTGACAGTGGAACGCTGGGGGGAGGGGGGGGGGGGGGTCAGACAGCAGCTACGGGTCCACGCAGTGACAGTGGAACGCTGGGGGGAGGGGGAGGGTCAGACAGCACACAGAGATAGTGACGCGCGGCTGGAGAGGGGAGAAGTCGGGGCCAGACAGTATTAATGGAAGAGACTCCTCCACTCCAATGGAAAAAAATCACCATCATTTCCTCCGGTAAAAATGCCACGTATTTCCTGAGGCTAGGAAAACTATCACGATAAACGGCAACCCCGTGCTCAAAACCTCCCTCCCTTCTCTCCTCTATATACATATTCCCCGGCCGAGAGGCCCAGGCTGGAGGGAGCCGGTCCGCAGTCCACGTACCGTGTTTGCAGGGCAGCACTCGGAGCTGATCGCCCTCCAGGTAGTCCTCCAGGCAGATGGCACACGTCTCCTGGCCGCCCGGGCCGCCGCCAGAGGCCGTCGCCGCCGAGAACCGGCGGGTGGGGATCTGCGCCAGCATCCGCTTGGGCAGCAGCCGGCGGGCCGTGCGCCGGTACTCGGAGATACACCGGTACAGCTGTGTGTGTGTGTGTGTGTGGGGGGGGGGGGGGTAAGACAGGGGTGCTGATACTATACACAACACGGTACTCGGAAATACACCGGTACAGCTGCGGGGCGGGGGACGGGGTGCTGATACCACACGTGGCACGGTACTCTGATATACGTTATTTATACCTCGGTACAGCTGAGGAAGGGGGAGATGTAAGCATTAAGCAACACACTTGGTGATCCTGGCAGAGAAGAAGCACTGCTTCCACCACTGTGTATATCGTTTGTTAAATGTAACCATTGTTTTCTTTTTAACACATCTGGTCTGTGTCCAATAACAAAAGTTGCTTCTTAAACCAACATCCGCTATCAGCTCTTCTAAGGAGCCATCCAGGCGTAGCCCATCTGAGTCAAACACCTACCATGATCGAGCTGAGAACCATCAGACAGAGGACGATGAGCAACATCGCCGGGATGATGAACGCCAGAAACGTGTACGGAAAGTAGCCCGGGATGTAGATCGCGTAGCTGAAACATAGACAGGGGATTCAGAGGGATCAGTCAAAAAGTGCGGAGAACCAACGCAGTTACAGACAAAATACCGTTCCATCATCATTACCACACGCGGAAAACTTAGAATTGTCGGTTGGGTTGGTAAGTATCTAATAAAATGGGCCAATTTCCACACAATTATCGTATGGTGATCGCAAATATCATTTGATATCACCATTCGTGAGAAAGTCACGTCGAAACATTCCAGCAGCAGTTTCAAGGCTCGTGTTTCAGTCTGTCGTGAGACAAGAGTCCGTTCGTCGTGTCCTACCCGGTGCCGTAGAGGAAGTTGGTCCTCAGCATGATGCCGTTGCTGAGTCCGATGTAGAAGGACGGAATTGTTACGTCTTCGTCGCTCTCCATCGGCGCTGCAATCGATAGGACGCTGCTCAGACAAAACAAATACGGAGAGCCGTACACCAGCGAAGGGGCGAGATAGAAGCACATTTGAATGCACGGTTTTACAATATCTCATAAATAAACGGAGCCTCATTTCTTGCAATATCGCTTCAGACGATTAACGAACAATCTGTATTGAACCTATCCTTCATTCATTCATTCTAAACAATCATTATTGCACCTATCCTGACACATTCAGCTAACATAATATCTCATCCAGCAGGAGAACTCGTAAAAATACGTCCCAGTATGTAGTCCAACTCCAAGACACAACGAACCTTCGAATAACCCTCGGAGAGTGGGACCCTCCTCTACCCCAGCCGACGATCAGCGATCCCCGTTCCACGTACAGAATCCGTCTCCGGTGGTGTTGAAGACTAGGGCGGCCATGTAGCCGGCCCGCTGGGCTCCCAGCACCTTCTGCCCGCTGGGACAGTTGCCGTCAGTCATCAGCAGGATCCAGTGGTGGCGGGCAGCGGTGGAGGGCGGCGGGGCCACCGGGCCGCAGCCGTCCGGTGGCTCGGACAGCACCAGGCAGCCCTGGGGATGGACGACACAGAGGTCAGAGAGAACCAGGTACCTACCCTGGTGATACAGGTCAGATGATACGGAAACAAATAATCCTGATGGGTTAAGTCACATGCGACATGTTATAAGGGTCTGACATAAGCAGGTTCCCCCTAGGGTACAGGTAACAGGTCACCAAGATAATATAGCATTATGTACTACTATAGACAACAATATAGTCGCACGGCAGGCCACATGTCATAGGAAGTCACACAGCGCCATAAAACAGGTGACACGCCAAGGCCAGACGCCACAGCTGTTTCAGGTCATATTTTCACTATCACATCAGCTCAGGAAGTCGCACATATCCGCGCGGACTAGAAAGTAGAATGTGAATAAACTTTCGTGGTGACCGCTGACGTGAGTCGGTAAGAGTCGTGTAGTAGGATAAGAGGAACCTGAGAACACTTACTGTGAAAGGATAACTGGTGGGAGGAGTTCTGACTGAGAATAGCTGGGTGTCCAGATCGCACCGCACCTACCCCGATCCCGTCATGGCGGCGCACGGGGACTGTCAGTGGAGTGTGGTGGGGTGCCCGCACTTACCCTGATGCCCGTCATGGCGACGCGCGGCCCGAACTCGGACGGGCTGTCCTCAATCTGGTACTCGGCCGCGTCGGCGCGCTGCTCTATGACCAGGATGGTGGCGGCGGATGGAGAGCACAGCGCTGCCGCCACAGCCAGCAGCAGCAGCGGCGGCGGCGGCCGCATCACGGCCCAACTGGCAGCCCCGCGGACACGGAACGGCGGCCGGCCGCGGCTGACACACCTGAGAAAACGGGCCGTCAGGGCGCCGCCAGTTACCGGATACCGACCGGCCAGCGACAGGTGCACGACGCGCCATTGATATAATCTGACCCTCGCCGGAACCATCGGATTTCTACATGCGTTCCGGTCGAGGGGCTCCCTCGCCGTCCTCCCCCCCCCCTACAACTGAGCTTAAGCCTCACGGAAAAGGAGGGTGCGCGCCATTACAAGACGCAGCCACCACCACGGGTGCCCAATTTCAAGATCTCATTTGGACCGGTAACATAAATGAGTCATAGTTTCTTTTCCATCACCCCTGCATAAAACACTTACAGGGGTCCAGAGGCTCTTGGATATGCTGTGAATTTGGACAGTCATAATCTACGAGACGTTGTCGTTGAAAATGGCTGAAATTGACCACGCCTATGGGTTTAAGTTTAAAGGATGCTAGAGAAATACAGCAATATTTTTTAAAGCCATCAATTCAGATAATCTCAGAAGAGGTTGACCAGCTGCGTCCACTGGGGTGACAAACTTGCACCAGCCCACACCAAGCAGACAAAAAAATTGTGCAAACCCCAACCAAGATCTAACCTTTTCTCTTAACACAAAATCAAGATGTCTGCAATCTGCATTATTGATGTAAATACATTGAAGGTCAACTATTCACTGGCTAGTCCCATTTTGTCTCGACCTGCTCATCATTTTCTCTGATGATGCACAGATGTTCTAACTGGTAGGTACCAACCAAGTTAGGGACTATACCATTCTCCACAGAATTGACATCACCCCACACTGATCTTGGATGTGAGATAATACAGCAATCAGTAGGACTGCAGCTGAGGTCCACACAGTTTCTGAAGGGTAAATTTTGCTCCTTTCCATGCTTTCAATGTCCTGAATAAAGGTTGACAAAGCTCATGATAACCCATTGAGGGTAGGACTTAGGTTGCCCAGCCCAACCTTATCTGGCCCAATCCAGCCTGGACTTCTGCCAGAGGCAGGTGTGAGGTAGGTAGGTGTTAGGTTAGGTTAGGCTCAGTATCCCAAAATTTGTTGGTTTGGGTGGGAAATGACATCCAAAGGAAATTTATTTTGCACTCTCATCCCCAATTTAAGGACAGACTTCTTTATGAAGGACGCCAATGACACCGTCGTAAAGCTTCAAGAGACCGCAATAGAGAAGGACCTTGGAGTCTTTGTCTCAAATGACTTAACCCTCGCCCGCACATGCCATTTTCCCATCCTAGAACGCACATGGGGGGGGGGGGGTGGTTGCCACCCCCCCCCCCTCGCGCCATTTCGTTCCTGTTGGAGATGGAGCTTAGCGGTAAAGACCAAAAAGATTCTTTGGGAAGAGACGAATCCAATGATACCCAGTTTTACCTTCTTAGGTCAGTCATTGACCTTCCAGGTCAGGTCAAACTAAAAAATGTTGCTGTTTTGGGTCACCGTTGGATATCAAGTGCGCTGCTTATCATATACCGATGACGATGCCGTTTTCTGGTGCCAAGCCAGCTAGAACCTCTTTCTCACACTACCCGACCAGGTTTTTGCTGCTGAGGTCATTTCAGGTCAAGTTAGGTCACGGTCAATTATATGTGTTTGTATGTCTGTGTGTGTCTGTGTGTATACTGATGTGTGCACCGATTGTTTATGTGTCCATATTACATGAAATCATGATCTGAGAAGCTTTTACCAAAAATGCAGTCAAAAAACTTCACAAAAAGTAAATTCCGCTTGCCTAAAACGCAATTATCTTAGATGACCTAGGTTGACCTTGACCTTGACCTTGACATCTGTACATCGTCGAACAACATGTTCCATGATAGGTGGGAGGTAAGACTGGTAAAAAAGGCCGAAATCAAGGTGTCAAAAGCTCACAAGGCCCATAGCCAACGCAAGATGTCGAGAATTGGCCATTTGGGTCATGACATGACCTGAAAAACAAGGTCATATCTCCGAAACCAAAGGTCACAGAAACTTGAAATTTTCAGTGGACATCAAGAAAGGATAGAGGAGCAGCTATACGTAAAATCAGCCTTCTAGCTCTAAAAATGTTGAGTGCAGAGCAGAAAGACTACCTGGGGGGGGGGGGGTGGCAACCCCCCCCCCCATGTGCGGGCGAGGGTTAAAGTCAAGTACACTGTCAATGGGCAGCCATCAGAGGAATGACAGCCCTCCGTCTCCTGAGGAATGCGTTCGACAGGATCGATGTGAAAAATTTCAAGTCACTGTTTACCACTTATGTTCGTCCCCATCTCGAATACTGCATCCAGGCAGTGGGTCCACACATTGTCCAGGATATGAAGACTCTGGAACGGGTGCAAAGACGGGCAACCAAACTGGTAAATGCAATTAGAAATATGTCGTATGAGAATCGCCTCCGTACATTAAAACTACCCAGTATCGAGGAGAGGATACGTAGAGGTGACATGATTGAGACCTACAAGCTCCTGACTGGAAAAGTAGAAGTGATTAGTGAACCATGAACAGTTCTTTGAGGTGACACATCAGGACAGAACAAGAGGACATGGACTCAAGCCTGTAAAGAAAAGGGCAAAACATGTTTCAAGACTTAAGTTCTTCTCAAACCGAGTAGTAAACTTGTGGAACCAGCTACCCAAGGAAGTGGTTGAATCTTCAACAACCAACAGTTTCAAAAATAAGTTTGATAAGCTGCACTGGGCCACAGTTTCCTCAACCTGATCCGAAAGTCTTGTCATGATGTGAGCACCAAACAGACCTGATCTGACACCAGCTCACGAGACTAAACCTAAACCTGAACCTAATACTTTAAGAGCTATTTTCCACCCTCAGTTTTACTGACAGCAAGCATTTGCGTGGATGGTTGTTTTACATCCTACAATCTGTCACACTTGTATACCTATAAATGTGTGCCACTGATCCTTTTCCACTCTTTTTGGACCTTATCTGACTGACAGTATTCCACTCTTGTCCCCCTTCTGGGTGAGGAATTTCCCCCTCCAACACCCAAGCGGTAGCGAAAATACAATTTTGGGACACTGGTTAGGCTTAAGGTTCATCTTCATCTTCTTCATCTTCGTGTTATGGGGGCAAGAGACACAATGTCCTGTAGGGCCAGTTCTCGCCAATTTCCATAACTTCACTTAGTAATCAGTCTCAGTCTGTCTGCTAGGTTAATGTTAGATCAGGTCAGGTTAGGCTAAGATCATAAGATGGGTTAGGTAAGGTTAGGTTGGGTTAGATTAGGCTGAGTGAAGTCAGATTAGGTAAGCCTGCTAAGGCGACCTCACTTCAATGAATTATCATAATGTTTGCTGCACTAATAAATATAATTTTTAGATTTGAATAGAGACATTGTAAACAAAAAAGTAGGCAGATAGGTATGCATGGTGTGAACACTGGCTGAAACTAAAATATTATTGTGGGACCACACCTCCATCAGGCGGCCAAGGAGGTCGTCCCTAGGCTCACCTCGGCTCTCTCGGACCACAGCGGACACCCGGCCCCGGTCGACCGACGCACAACACGCACCAGCGGGCACGCGGAAGCGCCGCAGCGAGCGGTGCGTGCGTGCTAAATTCGGCAGCCGAGCCGCCAGCCGGGCCGCCGTAACGGGGCCGCGCACTGTGGGAGAGCCGAGGTGGATGACCCAATACTGCAGCCAGCCAGCAGTGCCACCGGAGGGGCAGCGGCCTCGCCCACCACGGCGGCAGCCCGACCGGTCGGGAAGGACGAGGAGTCAGTCTGGAGAGTCGGCGAGGAGAGGCCGCGCGGCGGGAGGAGCACGGCAGGCGGGTGGCCGGGCAGGCGTTTTTTTATAATTCATGCTATTCGTAACGTCACTTTAAATTCTTTAAGTTTAATCTCCCACTTTCGTCCCATCTCTTGTTGAATTCCTCCTTTTATAATAAAAGCAAATCTTGGTAAGAACTTCTTTGAACTGACGGACTGAGCAAGGAGAGAGCGGAGCGGGATCAGAGAGCAAAATTGAAAGCATAAGGCTCACAAATAGAGAAAGGAAAGAGGAAGGGAAAACTTTCTACATAACTTTCTCATTATCATGAAATTATATTGGACATTGAAAATGTATTTGGCTGCTTGAAGCCAGGGCTTCCTCTAACATGTTAATTGGGGGGCCGCCCCCCCCCCCCCTCAGTGATGCCGCTGGCCCCCCAGTGGGGCTGAAATCGCGTCACTGGGGGGCCAAGCGGTTAAGCAAATCAAGTTGAGGCGGTATTAGTATATATTAGGTCCGAGTGGACAATTGTGACGCTGTTGATACAAATATGTAAAAGCAAAAAAATTAGGTTTAAGGTTAGGTTAGGTTGTAGGTTTGTAGGTTTTAGGTTGGTAGGTTTGTAGGTTAGGTTAGGTTAGGTTGTAGGTTGTAGGTTGGTAGGTTGTAGGTAAATAGGTAAGGTTAGGTCAGGTTTGATTATGTTTTTCTTTTATTTCCAGGATTTATAAGTATCATTTTTGGATTCAGGATGTCAAATAATGTAAGAATATGAAAACTTTATCTTTTAACAGTCACTCGGACCTAATGTATACTTTTACCGTTGAGGCTCCAAGTCAAGCATAATCACAATGGCAGGTACATATCAAATAATAATCAACCTAAATAGCTATAAGAGTCTTACTCTTACTATAGCTAGATTCGGCTACTGAATGTATCCGATTTCATAGAAATATGGCTTAAAAACGCCCAATTTTGACAATAGCCTCACAGAGAAGATTTTATTGCTTTTCCGGTACCGGCTAGTCATGGAAGCTGAATAATATCAAACTACACCTAGTCATTAACCTCAATGTTATGTTGAATTTTAGGTACATATTTAATTCAAAAGTTAAAAATGTTTAAATTTTAAATTGATACCAATACCTCCTCCTCACCTCGCGTATAGCGCGCCACAAATGGGACGACGGTGAAAACAGGGCGCCTGAGGCGATTTGATCAAGGTTCGTGAAATTTACACGTGACGTTTAGCATGTAGAAGGCCCAAGAAGGGGGAGAAGCTCCAAATGTCACGTGACTAATATGCCCTCCGGCGCCCTGTTTTCACCGGTGTCCCACAAATGCGCAACAAACGCTCGCGCTTCCAAGGTTGGTGATATTCTATGGCGCTAGATAATTTCACTGCTATTTTATGGTTGACGTCAAATAATTTATTTATCCAGCCGACCTCGGGGCTTGCCCCGTGGTCTCTCATGCGACATGCCAGCACAGATTCTGTATTGATGTTTTTCCCCGAATAGAAGAACAAGGGAATTTGTCTCCCCCACAGATATAAAGACGTCTCCCCTACATCCCTTCTTCCTTCCTGTTATGGGATGGTCTCAGACCTGAGACCGAGGGTCTAACCTAAGGAGAGAACACAAGACTGCCTCGAGATCCCGAGCGTCAAAGTATCAAGCGGCATACCGCACTCGCCTGCTATGAAAATCCTAGCATTATGACAAAAACATCTTGATCCAAAATGACATATAATATACCAGTTAACCCGCGCCCGGCTGGGGGTCCTGGATTTCCACGCCCTGCTGGGGGGGGGGTGTTTGAACACCCCCCCTTCTAACTCGGCTCCTGGGCCACGTAGCGATACGCGGAAGGCGGCGTTCGAAAGAGCGTCAAAAATAATGAGGAAATTACTTCGGTCAATTTTTTGGTCAGGTCAAAGGTCAGGTCACCAGAGGTCATTGAAGGCAAAATTTCGCCGATTTCCGGGTCGAATGTCGAAAATTTCCAAGAAGCCAACGCATAACTCGGGAACCAATAGAGCTACAGCGCCGCGGAAAAGCGCATTCCAAGGGCGGCGCCACCGTGGGGGCAGTGGGGGCAGACTGCCCCCACTGGCAGGAGGCCGTGGGGGCAAGACTATGTTTTTGCCCCCACAAAATTTGGCTGATGTTGAAATTGGAACAGAAGACCGGTGCAACATTCATGATAGGCGGTTATAATAGTACGCCTGTCAAAAGTCAAGGTCAAAAGCAAAAACCGGCACTTTTGTAGTGGTCTCAAAGTACGTGTTTCAGAGGACGGCATGGTGCATAAAACCGGCTAAAATGGATGTTAAACGAAAGAAGAGAGTCTGGGGATTCCGATGATGTGCATAACATTCAAATTCAAGGTCACGGTGATGATCAAAATTGACCACAAACTGCACTTTTTCAGTTTTCGTCTATCTTGTATACTAAATTCCGAGATGTTTTGAAATGTTTTGAAGCTTAGCGCCTAGCGGGCCCTTATTTGTGCTTTATCTTACGATACAAGGCTGCTACAAGGTCAAAGTCACAAGAGAGTATCCTTGCTAGAGACTATTTCACTTATTCCAGTCAGGCATAATAATTAACCCGCGCCCCGTAGGGCTATCGGCGGACCCTACCCCTCCTAAGATCTCGGAAATTTACCGGCCGATTTTCAAAATTCAAACGGCGTTCGATAGCCCCACCGGGGAACTACCTTGTGACTAAATTTCATTGACCTAGGTCAAATCGATGACGTCACAGGTCAGTTCAAAGGTCGGATTTTCACCGTTCACAGGCATTTCAAGAAATGTGTTGTGAAATCGAGTAAATTGGTAAGTTATTAAAAACCATCGATAGTACATTGTTCGTCAAACACATACTTAGCTATCTGAGGTCACTGATACCAGGTCAGGTCACAGAGGTCAGGTCACTGGGGGTCACCTGGGGGTCACAATATGAGAGAGTCGTGATAGGGTCAGGCAGCCTTTGGGGCCAGCTTAGGTCACGTTTTGGTGAAGGTCATGTCAAGGTCAGGTCAAATTAGGTCAAATTTCAAAATTGATAGTTTTGCATAAAATGGGTATCGATTCGATGCAGCTCGTCACGGGGGGTCTAATGGTGGTCTTTGTTTTGCTCTACGTGGTCTAGAATTGCAAAAAAAAAAATTGTTTTAAAATTTGACGTCATCATTTTTGAACGTTTTTTCGCTATAACTTGGCCAAAAAACAAGATATTGATCTGAAATTTGGTATCTAGATAGAAGACGTTATGTTCTATCACATGTATTCCGGCTTTTTCGAACCTCAAAAAAACTTTGGATTTTTGGCAAATATATAAAAAATGGCTTTTTTGATTTTTTGTGGTCAAACTTTAAAAAATTTTACAAATCCGAGATAGCAATTTTGTAGCCCTGTCAATTCTACACCTTTTATGTCTTGATCATTTTTCTGTATCTTCAAAGCTGTAGGCCTGACAGCTCTTCTCGCGAAGGTCTTTTTTTCGGTCGAAAATGGCAGAACATGACGTCATTCTGACGTCATTTGTGGCCAACCTATCATAGCCTCTGGAAAATTTTTGGTCACAATGTGTAAAATTGATGCCCGAAGGGGTCCTGAAAGTTTGATGGCGATATCTCTAGCCGTTTAGGAGATATCGATGGAAAAGGACAGGGGGCCGTTTCGGGCCCCCTACGGGGCGCGGGTTAAGACATGTTTTGCCATCCTGAGGCTCTGGATGAATGCTAAGAGCAGAATGGATGCCAGAATCGCGATCAGCGGCTACGAAATCATCATTAACGCCCTTTCATGTGTCACAGTCAACCAAAGGTCATTCGAGGTCACATGAGGTCAACATAAACTTGAGACCTTTTCCAAACAATATATGTGTCGTTCGACGCGTCTCGACGAGACAAATGCGAAGGTACCGCTGCCGTAGCTCTAGGACCATTTTTGTTTATGTTATTTGCGAAAAAAAAAACTAAAGCCCCAGCTAGGGGTCGTTGACCTGACTTCTGACCTCAGGTCACCAAAGTTAATTAAGTATTTTTGCTCGGTCAAATGCTACACAACCGTGCTCGTAATTTATCTCTAAAGCTCTAATTTTGGCAGCTGGTGCCTGGTTGAAGTTCACGTCTGCATGGTGTGTCAAAAGTGGAAATAGCCGCCCGGCCTTAGTTCGGCAGCCTTGTCAATAGATGGCAGTACCACAATATGGGCAGCGGATTGTGCAATTGACGTCAAATTTTCGTTATCTGCTAAGAATTAAATGGCGGATCTTTTCATGCAAGAATCAAGTAAATCGGTCCACAACTTTTCTAGCAACAGAGATATGAAGTCAAACACCCCGCCAGAGCGGCGGCGCGGCGGCCGGCGGTGGCCGTTACGCGCCGCCTGGGAGACTGGCGGCGCTGAACGGTTCCGACTTGGCACTGCACTAAAACCTGTTAACTGCTTGGAATAGTTATTATAGCAAAATTTTCATTCAAGTGAGGGATAACCGAGGGCAGGAAGTATGTGTGCTTGTATGCGTACTGTGTAAGCCAAGAAACTGCATTAGCAGATACTCGCTAATATTAGTTCCAGCCAAGTCCAAACGCATTCCAGGGGATGTGTTCCTGATGGGTCAACAATATTTATCGTTCGAGGGCGGATACAGTTTTAACAATTCAAAAAATATTTTTACACAGCTCAATTCCTCGAATAATTCTCTTCAACGCCTCATTCCTAGTTAAGCGAATTAGCCCACCCTGGTTGAATAAATAAGGCGATTTCGCCACAACGTCGCGGAAAACCGACCGAAAACGGCCGCGCTCAACGTTAATTTGGGCATGCAGACTCTTAAAAACTCGCATTGGGCGGGTAGGGTTATCCAGGTATTGGCTCCAAAACACCGTATTCGGCTCCCGAATACGTCCAAGTGACCCGCCTCGTTCCTAGTTAAGCTCTAATTAGATCAAGTGACTCATAAGGAGCGAAAAAGCGACAAAAAGCATGAATTTCCCTATGGCGGCGGGCTGCCGGGTTGCCAGACGGCGCACCGGCTATTTCCACTTTTGACACACTATGGTGACGCCAAAGTTTGATGTGCAGGAGTCTTATAGGAATATCGGCCCTGAGACGTTATCAAGAACGCTAGGTCCAATTTTTTCTTTTTTTGCTTCAAAAGATGTCTCAAATTAATGGGGAATAAGGTACAGCAAGTTTCGTCTTTCTATCCCTAAGCGTTCATGAGGCATTCCAAATATTCGCCAGGGGGAGACGAAAAACGCCCCCCCCCCTTCTGGGCCTGCGAAGGTTAACGGTTAAGCTCAATACGTATGCATGAAACCTGAAACCATAATAATTTTGAATGGCAACATCTAGGGGCAAGGTGCTCATGGATTTTGCAGATCGGCGTATCAGACAACAGTCGGGTCACGTCAAGCTTGCCCCCACTGGCGAAAACTCGTGGCGCCGCCACTGGCGCATTCGATAGCCCTATTAAAGCCCTTTCTGAGTAATTCTCTCAGGTTTGACCTAACGTCAACGGTTTTGCCTGCAGGGGGCAAAAACTGCAAAAATAGCCGATTTTTTCGGAAACAGTTTTCCTGCAATAACTTTTGACCCAAGCCTTGTACGAGCTTACTTTTACCGGCATCGTGTTCCTCTCGTCAAGACGCATCGAATGAAATATAACTTGACCTTGAAAGGTCAACTTGAAAATTTGACCTCAGGTCAAGGTCATGACCTGACCGGAAAGGGTCATGTTGCATATCAGTCGATCCGTATCGTCGAGCTGAACACATCTAAGGCGTTTTCATCGCTCTAGCATGCCTCTATCAAAAGTTATTTGCGAAAAACTGTTAGATACCATTCGTGACCTAAGATGACCTCAGGGCATAAACAGGGGTCACGGACACCATTTTCATGTTCAGCGTGTCTAGACCACTTGTAATTCAGTGTTTGGGAGTGTTTATAATGTCTTTCGTCCAAAAGAGGCGCATTTCAATTTTCTCCCATTGACTTATAATGGGGAGGTCGCAAAGTTGACCTGACCTTAGGTCATCGATATCAAAATTCTGAGATATACATTTTGTACATGCTATTGCTCTTAGCAATCGCTGAAAGTTTCAAAGCGATCGGTCACTCGGTGTAGCTATGACAGACATTGAAACTTTTTATGAGGTGAGGTCACTTCAAGTGACCTGGTGACCTGACCTTGAATGACCTTGGTCTGAAATTTTCACAACATGTGTAGAATTGATGTATGATAAGGTGTACCAAAAACGGCGGCGCTCCGCGCCGCCGTTTTTGAGATATTCGCGAAAAACCACAAGGGGGGGTGTTCAAACACCCCCCCCCAGCAGGGCGCGGGTTAATGCCTCACACCCACATCATAAGCAAACCAGTCGCTTCACAGCTGTTCACGCTGATTCTATGTCTGAAGGCTGACGCCGAGGTGGTCAGGACCGTTAATAATTCAGCACGACCCGGTGGTCTGCCTCCATGCCCAGCTGGGTGTGCACCGTCAGCACTCCCGTGGCCGGCTCGTACACCACGCCGTCGGCCGGCAGCGGAACTCCGTCGGCGCTGACCGATGACGGCTCCGATGGCACTCCGTAGAAGGAGATCTCGGACAGCGTCGGGTCCGGCATCCACTGCGTGTCGTTGTAGGTCACCTGCGGAGAAGACAGTACGGTAAGACACTGATCAGACAAGCAGCCACGTACCGGACAACGTAAAAGTAGGTACAGGGCACTCTTACCGACTGTCGCTAACTTGGGTGTTAAAAGTTGACCAATTTTATCAATAGGCTATGAACACTATAATTTCTACATTTATCTTGAAATGATTTACCCAAACACTCGATGAAAGTTATAATTATCTCACCTGGATGTCGAGCGTGTTGTCGCCGAAGTGGAAGAGGCAGTGGTAGAAGCTGCCGTCTTTGAACGTGTCCGTGGTCTCTCCGTCGTCCCAGAAGAGCATGCCGGTCGCCTGGGCGCCGAACACCGCCAGCGAGAACGGGTTGGCGCGGCTGGCCGCCGTCGTGGTGGCGTTGCGCTGCGTGGGCACGGCGGCGCCGCCTCGGCCGAACACGGGGATCATCTCGTCCAGCGCCACCTGGTAGAGCACGCCGCCCGAGTGGTCGGCGTCGTAGGCCAGCGCGCCCGAGCGCAGGTCCCACCACTGGCCGGCCGGGAACGTGACGTGGACGGACGTCATGCTGGCCTCGTCCAGGATGGGCGCCACCATGACGGCGTCGCCCCACAGGAACTGGGTGTCGACGCCGCGCAGGGCAGGGTCCGAGGGGAACTGGAAGGCCAGCGGCCGCGCCACCGTCTCGCCCATCTCTGAGGCGCGCCAGAAGAGCGTGTACAGGTAGGGCAGCAGCCGGTAGCGGAGGCCGAGCGCGTCGCGCGCCGCCGCAGCCACCGACGGCCACATGGCCGGGTCCTGGGCGGCCGCTCCGATCGTGTTATGGTTACGACTGAAGGGGTAGAACGCTCCAAGCTGCGTCCAACGAAGACAGAGGTTCTCGTTGGTTTCGCCTCCGAAGCCACAGATATCTGCGCCGACGTGAGGGAAGCCGAACATGCTGAACTCAAGGATACCGACGACGGACCGTTTCATGTCGCTCCATCTGGCGGTGTTGTCGCCTGTCCAGTGGGTGGCCCAGCGGCCCGCGCCGACAAACGTGCTCCGACTGACGATCAGACTGCGCCGACCGGCCATGGTGGCGCGCACGGCGGCGCGCGTGGCGCGGCTCTCGCTCCAGCCGTACAGGCTGTGCACGTCGTAATGGTAGTACGAGGTGGCGGCGCCGTCCAGGTCGGCCGCGTGCACGCTCGCCATGCATATGGTGTGGTCAGCCATGGAGCCGCTCGGGTTGAAACCGGACCGGACGAAGCGGGTGGTGTACGGCGGGTAGTCGAGCGCCGTGTGCGGACACTGGAGAGCGCCCCGCAGAGAGTTGTGGCTCACCCGGCCGATGTTGGTGTCGAACGACGAGGGCTCGTTCATGTCGATCCAGAAACCATCCGGCTCGCCGGCCGCGGCGCGGAACCGCCGTATCTCGTCCGTCCACCACTGCACCGTTCGGTTGGCGAAGAAGTTGGGGTAGAGCGTCGGTCCATCCGGCCACACTTTGCCAGCGACATACTGTCCGCAGCCAGTACACTGGTTCTCAGGAATGAACGACGCGTTGGGCCACTTGACGAAGACGTCCTGCTCGACGCCACGGTCCGCAGTGGGGTAGGTGCCGAAGTCGGCGGCGATCGCCGGGTCGTAGATCAACACGAAGCGAACGCCCTCCTCGCGGAGCTCTTGGATGAACGTTGGCAGGTCGGCGAAGTTGTTAGGGTCGATGGTGAAGTCTCGCTTGCCGTCCATGTAATCGATGTCGGAGTACTGGACGTCCTGAGGAATCTCTGCGGCCTTCATCCGCTCGCGAACGTCCCTGATGTCCTGGACGCTCTTGTAGCCCCAGCGGCAAAGCTGGAAGCCGAGGCCCCAGTAGGGTGGCATCACGGGGAGCCCAATAGTGCGGTGGTACTGCTGCAGCACTTCAAGCGGCGAGTCGCCAAAGAACAGGTACAGATCCAGGATGCCACCCGTGGTGCGGTACGTCAGGGCGGGAACGCCTTCCAGCAGGAACAGACGGTACTCCATCGCGTTGCTGTTGAGGATCAGCACGCCGAAACTGCTTCCGGAGTCGTCCTCGATTCCCAGGAAGAAGGGATGAACCCCGTACAGATTCTCGACATCAAATCCAGGTCCATGGTCGTGGGCGAAGATGGGCCATGTGACGCCCGCCTCGAGGTCGTGTCGGAAGCTGTCGTGGTTGTTCTCGCCGAAGCCGTACAGGTCGGCGGCGCCCAGCAGGAAGGTGGCCTCGATGAACTGGTCTCCGTAGATGAGCTCGGGCCGCGAGGTGATCACGGGCCGCTGGCGGTGCGTCACCTGGACGCCGAACGTCTGGCCGGCCTCGGTGCCCGTCAGTGTGATGGCGTACTGCGGATCGGACGGCGGCGGAGTGGGCAGCGGCGGCACGTCCAGCTCGACGGGCACCTCGTACCGGGCCGCGTCCGTGTCCCGGTACTGGCGACAGCGGAATAACGGGCGGTGGTCAGCGACTAGAGACGGACACCGACGCCTCAAGGACTCGGGTCTTCGAGGGTAAGCAGTTTTCAGGGTTGACATGTTACCTGAGGTATCGTTTGACGTTTACAGAGCATAAGTGATCAGTAGTCCTTTACAAACAAAGCAATAGCAATGCCCACTTTTTATCTCGCCAGATAGCGAAAAGACCGCGTAAGTTTCGTGGGATAAGTTCAAGTACATTACCAGCATATGATCGGGATTAAGAGTTGAATGAACTGAAATTTGCTGCCGTTTTCTGCTCGAGCCAGCCCTGTCTCTGCCCGCTCGCCCCTCTTACCGTCAGGGCCATCCTGTTGTCGTCGTACTCGACGGCGGTGACCGTCAGCCGCTCGACGTCGTCTCCGAACATGGTGACCTCGCCGTCCCGGCGACCCAGCAGCAGCTCGTAGCCCGTGTGGATGACGTGCGGCGACTCCAGCAGCTGGTAGCCGACCCGGTCGGCCAGCCGGCAGCCGCCCTGCTCCCACACACAGGCCGAGTAGAGCCCGCAGGTGGCCTCGTCGGCCGAGTCGGGACCGTCCGGCAGCGGGCACTCGAGCGGCGCCGAGACGGCGGCGCCCAGCAGCGCCAGCAGCGTCCACAGACGGGCCATGACCGGTCACCGGGCAGAGGACGGACGGAGGGGCGCGGACCGGGACCGGGACGACCGTCCGCCGCCGCGCTGGGACGCTCACTGGTGGCAGGCGGGACGGCCGGATGGACTACAACCGGGAGATAGGACCGTATCTGACGGCCGGGGCCCGACTCACAGCGAGCAGCCGGTTTTTCAGCGGACTCTGTACCGCAAACATAAACTGCTTTTTAGAGGTAGAGTGTGAAAGGTGCAAAATAACCCGTTCCCTCAAGAAATAAGTCCCGTGACCGTTCCGAGCAAGTATCCCGTATCCCCGCAAGCGTCCTTTTATTCCATGGGCTGAGATAACGAATTACGTGTTCCCGTTCTGGCCAGCAGTCATGCACTGTCAGTTAAATCGTTTAACAGACGGGTAGAACTACTTGCAATTGCTAGGGTGGAATGGTAACTTGCCGGAATCAAGAATAGTCGATAAAAGTGTTAGGAAAAACAAAGAACGAGAAACTCATCGACTAAACCACGAGAGTTCAGTTCGATCAAGTCACATTTGACTGATATGTAAAGTAAAGCGTGCCTCCTGAAACACCGTGGGGCGTGGGATACCTACCTCATGCAATAGCATTTCACGGGCTTCTATTTTATCAGTTCATAAAAAATATACACGGAAACACGGTGGATATGGCTTCCGTATCTGATACTTGCTTGCCGAAGCTCTCAGAACTCAGTATCACCGTGTGACTATGGGCGTGCCTGACAGACGGGCGCGTCTCCTGTTATCTCTGTTCCATCTGGCCGGGTCCCACAGACCTCCAGGCACATGAGATGCGCTGGGATGCGGCGGGATGCGCCAACCGAGCGACGGTGCTCTCTCTCTCTCTCCTCTCTCTCTCTCTCTCTCTCTCTCTCTCTCTCTCTCTCTCCCTCTCCCTCTCCCTCTCCCTCTCTCTCTCTCTCTCTCTCTCTCTCTCTCTCTCTCTCTCTCTCTCTCTCTCTCTCTCTTCCAGATATGGAAGACGAGGATTGATCAGTTCAAGCACCAGCGACAAGAGGCTATACCATACCATCGCAATATTTCTGTAACAAAGTTCGCTCCCAGCCCCCTACCCTACTAGCAATTTCCTTATATGGTCACTGTTCCTCGCCTTGACGCCTGTCCTGACTGACCCGCTTCTGATTGGTGCTATGATATGACGTACATGTGTGCCGTACATATGTTACGCGTGCCGAGCCGCAGCATGGGCGCAGCCCCCGGCCGGCGGCCGGGTGAGGGAGTTCTGGACTATCTGGGCTATCTGGCAAACACATTGGACTCGCGGGAGCCGCTCTCCCGTCGGTTACTTTTGACTTCGCTTTCTGTTCTCAGACATTTTCGGCTACGTTGAAACTGCTGCCGTTTGACCAGGAGTGACAAATATAGGTACCCAGGGAGCAGTGAAACAGTGTATTTTGAGTCTTTGACTATCACGAACAATATTACAATTTCCCTTTGAGTGACCTCGAATTCGATGAACCGTTACAGCAATTCTTGCCAGCATGATCTCTGGATTCCTGTCTTGCAACAGCTTTCCATCCGCATTGCAAAGCAAACACGAACTGCAGATGTAAGGCAGCAGTTGGAATATGCAGTGCCAGCTCATCATGCATCAGTGTAGTCGTTCCATGCGAAATTTAGATCAAAATCGAAGTCAAGTCGTTTGAGAAGCAGCCAGTAAGCACGCACACCTTGTGTTTTGATTTATCGGAGCCCCCGATCGTCCTGTCACACAATCGGACACGCCGGGCCCGCCAGTGAGCGTCCCAGCCCGGCGGCGGACGGTCGTCCCGGTCCCGGTCCGCGCCCCTCCGTCCGTCCTCTGCCCGGTGACCGGTCATGGCCCGTCTGTGGACGCTGCTGGCGCTGCTGGCCGCCGCCGTCTCGGCGCCGCTCGAGTGCCCGCTGCCGGACGGTCCCGACTCGGCCGACGAGGCCACCTGCGGCCTCTACTCGGCCTGTGTGTGGGAGCAGGGCGGCTGCCGGCTGGCCGACCGCGTCGGCTACCAGCTGCTGGAGCCGCCGCACGTCATCCACACGGGCTACGAGCTGCTGCTGGGCCGCCGGGACAGCGAGGTCACCATGTTCGGAGACGACGTCGAGCGGCTGACGGTCACCGCTGTCGAGTACGACGACAACAGGATGGCGCTGACGGTAAGAGGGACGAGCGGGCAGAGACAGGGCTGGCTCGAGCAGAAAGCGTAGGGGAATCCTAGGGCAATCATTCCCAGACCCCGATCATATGATAGTTATACACTGGGACTTTGCTTGTGAAGGACTCTTCTGTTGAACGCTGTCGATCAGTTAACGATGCCTAGATGAAATGGAGATAAAGCTTCAACCCTGACGGCCTGTTTTCAAGCAGCCCCTCCCGGATGCCACTCTCCCTCGGTGTCCGTCTCTGGCCGCTGACCACCGCCCGTTATTCCGCTGTCGCCAGTACCGGGACACGGACGCGGCCCGGTACGAGGTGCCCGTCGAGCTGGACGTGCCGCCGCTGCCCACTCCGCCGCCGTCCGATCCGCAGTACGCCATCACACTGACGGCCACCGAGGCCGGCCAGACGTTCGGCGTCCAGGTGACGCACCGCCAGCGGCCCGTGATCACCTCGCGGCCCGAGCTCATCTACGGAGATCAGTTCATCGAGGCCACCTTCCTGCTGGGCGCCAGCGACCTGTACGGCTTCGGCGAGAACAACCACGACAGCTTCCGACACGACCTCGAGGCGGGCGTCACATGGCCCATCTTCGCCAACGGTCATATGCCTGGCGATGAGATCGAAAACTCGTACGGAGTACACCCATTCTTCCTTGGAATCGAAGACGACTCCGGGAGCAGTTTCGGCGTGCTGATCCTCAACAGCAACGCAATGGAGTACCGTCTGTTCCTGCTGGACGGCGTTCCCGCCCTGACGTACCGCACCACGGGCGGCATCCTGGATCTGTACCTGTTCTTTGGCGACTCGCCGCTGGAAGTGCTGCAGCAGTACCACCGCACCATTGGGCTCCCCGTGATGCCGCCCTACTGGGGCCTCGGCTTCCAGCTGTGCCGCTGGGGCTACAAGAGCGTCCAGGACATCAGGGACGTTCGCCAGCGGATGAAAGCAGCCCAGATCCCCCAGGACGTTCAGTGGGCAGACATTGACTACATGGATGGTAGTAGAGACTTTACAATTGACCCAGTCAACTTCAAAGATCTCCCAGATTTTATCAGTGAACTTCACGAAGAGGGCATCCGTTTCGTGCCCATCTACCATCCTACGATTGCCGCCGACTTCGAAACTTATGGACCCGCTGACCGTGGCGTCGAGCAAGACGTCTTCGTAGGGTGGCTGAACTCTTCACTGGTTCCCGAGAACCAGTGCGAGGGCTGCAAGGACTACATAGTCGCCAAGGAGCGGACCAGCGCGCCGGGCCTGTTCCCCAACTTCTTCGCGAACCGGACGCTGCAGTGGTGGATAGACGAGATCCGCCGGTTTATCGCCGTTGCCGGAGGACCAGACGGGTTCTGGATTGACGTGAACGAGCCCGCTGCGATCAACACGAACGCCAAAGGCGGTCTCCAGTGTCCGCACACGCCGCTCGACTACCCGCCGTACCCCACCCGGTTCGTCAGGTCCGCCTTTAACCCGAGCGGCACCGTGGCCGACCATACCATATGCATGGCGAGCGTGCACGAGGCCGACCTGGACGGCGCCGCCACCTCGTACTACCATTACGACGTGCATAGCCTGTACGGCTGGAGCGAGAGCCGCGCCACGCGCGCCGCCGTGCGCGCCACCATGGCCGGCCGGCGCAGTCTGATCGTCAGTCGGAGCACGTTCGTCGGCGCGGGCCGCTGGGCCACCCACTGGACGGGCGACAACACCGCCAGATGGAGCGACATGAAACGGTCCGTTGTCGGTATCCTGGAGTTCAGCATGTTCGGCTTCCCGCACGTCGGCGCAGATATCTGTGGCTTTGGAGGTGACACCAGCGAACACCTCTGTCTGCGCTGGATGCAGCTAGGAGCGTTCTACCCATTCAGCCGCAACCACAACGCAATCGAGAACATTGACCAGGATCCGGCCGTGTGGCCGTCGGTGGCTGCGGCGGCGCGCGACGCGCTCGGCCTCCGCTACCGGCTGCTGCCCTACCTGTACACGCTCTTCTGGCGCGCCTCCGAGATGGGCGAGACGGTGACGCGGCCGCTGGCCTTCCAGTTCCCCTCGGACCCGACGCTGCGCGGCGTCGACACCCAGTTCCTGTGGGGCGACGCCGTCATGGTGGCGCCCATCCTGGACGAGGCCAGCATCACGTCCGTCCACGTCACGTTCCCGGCCGGCCAGTGGTGGGACCTGCGCTCGGGCGCGCTGGCCTACGACGCCGACCACTCGGGCGGCGTGCTATACCAGGTGGCGCTGGACGAGATGATCCCCGTGTTCGGCCGAGGCGGCGCCGCCGTGCCCACGCAGCGCAACGCCACCACGACGGCCGCCAGCCGCGCCAACCCGTTCTCGCTGGCGGTGTTCGGCTCCCAGGCGACCGGCATGCTCTTCTGGGACGACGGAGAGACCACGGACACGTTCAAGGACGGCAGCTTCTACCACTGCCTCTTCCACTTCAGCGACAACACGCTCGACATCCAGGTAAGAATCGATGGTGCTTGAGGACTTCTATGGCCATTTTACGAAATCGTAAATATAAAACTGGATCATTTAAGTTTCTGAAAGCGGAAAGCTTTTCTGTGGGCAGGCTTGTGATGCAAAATTAGCGAGAAATAACACAAACCTTTTTAACTGGCTGACTGCCATACCGTAACCGCCTTATTCCACAGGTGACGCACAACGACACGCAGTGGATGCCGGACCCGACGCTGTCCGAGATCTCCTTCTACGGAGTGCCGTCGGAGCCGTCATCGGTCAGCGCTGATGGAGCTCCGCTGCCGGCCGACAGCGTGGTGTACGAGCCGGCCACGGGACTGCTGACGGTGCACACCAAGCTGGGCATGGAGGCAGACCACCGGGTCGTGCTGAATTATTGACGAGACATAATCTCGTATGTTAGGGACTTTGTAGAGGAGATTATGTATGTAGGTAATCTTGTATGTAGTAAGATTATGTATGTAGGTGATGCCTACGCCTAATCAGGGGATGTGAAAAAGAAAATGGTCACTCCAAAGCCTTATAAACTTAAATTACGTTTTAATTAAGGCATAAATGATTGCATAAAGCTGTTAGATATTGCTGTCATGCCTAACCAGGTATCAATGTGTCATGCAGAATTTAGTTTCCTGAACATCGGGTGTTAGAATGAGCATCGCGCAAACAACACATTGTTATTTTTAGCGCTGTATTTTGTCGCAACACATATGTCAGCATGAATGGACAAGACGATAGACGAGAGTCAGCAAATGCATCGGACAAGGCGATTTACATGCCGTTTTAAAATCGGGGGCATAAGTATAACCATGTAGCATACCACCTGCACCATCGCACAAGTTCCGACGCACGACGCAATCACGACACGGTGGACCCCGCGGCGATGAGTTTTTGACGCATCGCGCATATTTTCTTCACCCACATGTCCGTTTTCCTCTGCACACCCTCGGACAGTTTCGGGTGAACGATGTCCTCGTCCTTCATCTCCGTTTTAGTGTCAGTGCTCTCGGCCAGGCTGGCCAGCTTTTCCTGTTCGTCCGTGGTCAGACCCTGCTCGGCGACAGGCCGAGATTTACCCGAGATGAACGAGCGCTGCACAAAATCGTCCTCCTCCACAGCTGCGATGGCGGCGGCGCGGCCCGCCGGGTCGTCCGACAGCAGTGACACCGCCGGCGCGGGTGCGGGCGCCGGGCTAGGCCGCGCCGGAGACGCCGCCTTCGACGCCGTGCGCGAGCGACGCGCCGAGCGGCCTGACGATGACGAGGAAGAGCGGCGGCGGCGACGGCGGCGCTCTCCGCTCGAGGAGCGCGAGCGGCGTCTGTCGCGGCGCCGCTCGCCGCTGGAGGACCGCGACCGTCTCCGGTCCCGCCGCCGGTCGCGCTCACCGCTGGAGGAGCGCGAGCGGCGCCGGTCGCGGCGGCGGCGGCGCTCGCGGCTGCCCGAGCGCCGCCGCCGGTGACGCGTCCTCGAGTCGCTGCGGGAGCGGTGGGCGCGTCTCTTATGTCGCCGGTCCGGTGAGCGGCGGTCCCGATGGCGGCGCACGCGGTCGTCGCCTGAATCACTCGAGCTGCGGCCCATGGCCACAGAGTGCTGCAATGCAAAGCAGCATTATCTTTAAAAGGAAGGTAGGTAATAACAATTTTGGCACCCTAATTATTTTCCTAAGCTTTGTTTATGGTTATAAAATAAAAAGCAAATGTTACAAAACATTATAAACTTCCTGAAAGAGAGCATTGCCAAATCAGAGCTTACTTATATTATAATTGAGTTCAATGGGCATAAGGGTGAAAAACATGTTAAATTTGGATCAGCCAGATAAAAGGCACATTTGAATAGCAATTGGAATGACTACTGACTAGACAGACTAGTGATGGCCAAATGGGAATGGAAAATGTATAAATATGAAATCTGAAATGCAAAGATATATGCAGATATAATCGATGCCATTCCACTACACCAACAGTTCCCACTTATGGCAAGATTCCATAATCCAATTGTCATGAATTTCAATTCAATGTAACAAATCGAAGGTACGCTTGTCAGTTGTCAAGATGAAAGTTGAAACTGGTCCAATTATTCAGCCGTTACCTGGGTACAATAACTGGATATACACTCAAAAAGGACATCGATGTGTACTAGCCAAAAGCATTGACATGAACAACCCTAACGGAACAGAGCAAGAGTAATACAGTGCATCAGGTCTAAAACATGTTAGCGCTGGCCAATAATGGTGAAGCCAGCTCCAATATCTTAGCTTACCTGTCAGGATATTGTGACAGTATTTATGAGATGCAGGAAGACATAAAAAAATTCAAATATCTTAATCATCCATAAGCCTAATGAATTCAAATCAAAATGAGGCAAGGAAATGCAATGCAAAATAAGGGAACAAACTGAAATGTCTTGCCGTGTTTAGCACTTTAAGACTATTGTTCCTCACATGGCTTCCTCAAGTTTCGGATAACACCGATCATACATCATTAATCAATTATTCATCAAATCAAAATAGTCCAACAATCAACACGCGCCATGCAAATGTTTGAGATGGATACGGCGCATGAGCGACATTAACTAGTAAGCATCCATATGCTGAAGGTTTCCCTTCAAAACAACAAAAGTTTTTTTGTCTACTGCATCTCTGAATACGGCGAGTTCGCCCGAGTCTGAGCTGGGAGGGACCCCTCAAATAGAGCACCGGTCTCGAAATTACAACAGACATTCCATGGAAAGCATGAGATAGTCTTGGACTCGCGTCATCTGGGGTCCGCTAGACTATCATCGTAAACTGAGGTACCACGAGTAGTAAAGTAATCTTGGGTACCACACCACACATGCTTGGTTCGATTTAGTTGTCTACCAAACACTAAACAGCTCGCATGTTCGGACGCACAACCATATTTATTGACATTAACGAATACATTGTACAGTTTTCAGACAGAAATGTTTCCCTAAAATCTCAGAAATAGCGTTTCAATATATATAATAAAAATCACTTTGTAACAAAAACATCATTGCAGGATTGGTAGGTATTGCGGCAGATGATCACTGATCAGCGATCCAGTCGCCTATATATAATAAACAACCTGTCAACATAAACTTCGTTTCGTTGCTCGGAACAATCTCTCGATTCGTCAAGCGCTAAAACAACATCTGCCATCACCCATTCAACAACTATCGTGCCAGCATCGTCCTACCAACGCTCCTCCCCGGTCCACACCGTTCCGTCGTCGGTTTCCCGGTGATTCGGGACGTCTCCACAGCACCTACACTTGTCCCGTCCCGTCGTGCTCTGCTGATAAGGTCCCTCCCCAGTCCCCACGCTTCTCAGCTGATGGGACCCTCGGCGGCTCTCAGTTGGTGAGACCCCTGACAGCTCCCAGCTGATGGGACCCCCGGCGGTTCTCAGAGCTGACGAGACCCCTGACGGTTCCCAGCTGATGACGAGACCCCTGACGGTTCTCAGCTGACGAGACCCCTGACGGTTCTCAGCTGATGAGACTCCTGACAGCTCTCAGCTGACGAGACCCCTGACGGTTCTCAGCTGACGAGACCCCTGACGGCGCGGCGCGCGGCGCTGGCGTACATTCTCCGATAGACATCCTCGAGCTCGTCATAGAACCGGTGTCTTTGAGTGCGCTGCTGCGGCGAGGCGCGCACAATGTCCTGCCACTCCTGAGCCAGGTGGCCGCTAGGGGGGAGGGGGGGGGGGGAGAACGTCAGACGACAGGATGATCAGGATTCCAGCCCCTAGCTCTTTGAAATGCATTATGCAAGACTCCGAAGAGCGTTTGTAAGCCAACCTCGTCAAGTTTTTAGTGGCGATGCGGAGAGCTTTAACTACAAAAGTAAAGTAATGTTGTCAGTCAGTCAGTGGCATGTGCTACCGAGAATCGGTAGAGCATTCGTGCTAACGGTACCTACCCTAGTCAAAACGCGCATTCATTATCGATCCAATAAATTGGCTCTCAGTCCTATCCGATAACCATCAGCTGACCCAAGCACACCCATCACCCATTATCGGAGACCCATCGGTCCATCAGTCCAGTGCCAGCTATCGCCGCCCGTTCAGCCGGGTATTCAGCCGACCCACCTGTCCTGAGACATGACCTCGGAGTCTGTGCCGTCGCTGCCGCCCGACCGCGGCTTTCCGCACACATGGCGCACGCCGTCAGTAGTCACCTGGTAAAATGGACGGCACCGGTCACGGGTCAGGGGGTCAGTAGCGGTCGAGTGTAAGTGTGTGAGGGATGGCACGGCCAGCTGGTGTAACAGTGATGTCACGGGCCGAGTATATCAAATGACACGGCTCAGGTATGAGGCTCATATTTTGTGACGGACCGCGCGGGTAAGCGTAATGGACAAAGGACTTCAATTCGTCGGCAAGGACAACAATGCTGACACTTGCAACGTACAGAAACAATGTGATTCGTGTCATCGCCGTAACCAACCAATCTTGAGTTCGCCCATGGTAGCCCTACTGTCGTTGTAGGGAGGAGGGTACCCCTACTGGCGTTAAAGGGAGAGGATTTGTCCCGGGTACCCTTCTGTTGATATGGGGAGTTCTCACCGGACAGCGGCAGTCGCAGCAGTCGTGGTGGTAGTGGCCCGGGTAGCCCTAACTGTCGATATGGGGAGTTAATCTCACCGGACAGCGGCAGTCGCAGCAGTCGTGGTGGTAGTGGCCCGGGTACCCCTACTGTCGTTATGGGGAGGAGGGTACCCCTACTGGCGTTAAAGGGAGAGGATTTGTCCCGGGTATCCCTAACTGTCGATATGAGGAGTTAATCTCACCGGACAGCGGCAGTCGCAGCAGTCGTGGTGGTAGTGGCCCGGGTAGCCGCGTCCGAAGTACCGCTGGTACGCCTCGCACACCGAACAATGGTGGATGATGTGGTGGGTCTGGCAGTGTGCGCACCAGCCTGTGCAGACACACGCAGGTCCAAGGTCAGCCATCGACTCAACATGGACGAGCATTTGATAGGGAGTACGGACAGTGCCAAGTAAATGAGCATCAGAATATTTGTTGAATGATGTAGTAGTAGTAAACTGATAAACTGTTCCGAATAACGTAAACCGTAACTCACTATATTTTAAATATTTGAGACGGAATCATGCCCATCGAAAATTAAAACGAAACTAATTCTAGCGTTTATGTTTGACCTCGTGACATTCCCAGCCATTCAGACGGCACCGCTGTTTATATGCGTCTCGTGACGTACCGGCGCGTGGCGGCGCTCCCTCGTCCACCTGGACGGGCAGCGGCTCCACGGAGCGGGAGCGGACCGCCCGGCCGCCCGAGGAGCTCGGCGGGGCCCGCTCGGCACTGCTGGTGCTCCGCGCTGGCCGGGCCGCCGCCGGCTGACCGGAGCACGAGCAGTGACAGTGGCGGCCGCGGCCGGCGCCCGCCGGCGGGTCGCTGCGGCTGCGGCGGCGGCGGCGCGTCGGCGGCGGCGGGTCGCCTATCTCCCTGCCGATGAGACCCGTCTCCGGGCGCCGCCAGCGGAACGGCGGCCGGTCGCCGGCCGGACGGCCGCGCAACACCTGCGGGTGGACAGGCCGGGCGCAGAGGCGGATAGCGAGAAACATTGCCATGGCTGACGACTGTTTGGTTCGAGCCAGAACACTATACTTTTTGTTGACGTCGTCGGCGCTTTCGCCTTTCTGTCAGCCACAATGAGCACTTCGAACAGGTAGTTGCCAGGCTGCTATCATCATTTGCCCCAAATCCAGCGCTTACAAACCACGCAAAACAAGTACCTAATCAACTTTCTCCCCAAACGACGACCTACCTTGGGCACGGCCACGGCGGCAGCTTGGCCGGCGGTGGCGGCGCGGGCGGCGGCGGTCCCGGTGCGGCCACCCAGTCTCGGCGGCAGGCTGGTACGAACCTCCCTGACGGTGGTCTTTGTGGCCACCTCTAAACGTGGGGCGACCGAGCCCTGGAGGCAAGGAAACATGCGTCAGAGCCAGACTAGGTAAGGGAAGATACCATTTGGGCGGTGAAGAAAGGGAACTGCTTATAACGCCGAGCGGTACGTCTGGTTAGCTTACGACCTCTCGTCTATGGCAAAAGGAGGATGACGAACCCGAGAATGTGTGGAACACGATTACTTGAAACTTGAAAGTGAAGTGAATGCAAGGTGACAAGTATTATCTCGACATCTCTGTTCCGCGCAGTCCAGTAGCCCACGCAGTAATCCGAACGCACCACGAAGTGCGCCGTCGGCTCCATGATGAGGTCGAGGTCGGCGTCGGCCCGTGCCGGCCGGTCGGCGGTCGCCGCCCGCGGGAAGAGCAGCTCACGGGCGGACGTCTCGAACGAGGCCAGCACGGTGTCCGGTCCCGCCGGTGGCCGCTGGATCAGCTCCAGGTACACCACCTCGGCGTCCAGCATATCGTCCAGGTCGGCCAGCCGGAACACGTGACCAAACACCTGCAGGGAGCACGGGGACACGTGACCAAAGGCTTGAAGAGGTGACCAGAGACACGTGAGGCTGCGTTCGCCGACACACGGACGATGACTTTTTTTACCGTCCGGCCTCGAGCATCGCAATGCTGAAGTGTTTGCGTTTCAGGGCGCTCGAGCCGCATGGGTCATCAACGCCCATAGTTGACTCTGATTGAAGATTTTTTGCACCTTTTCGACGACGAACGTTTCGTTGAAGTTGATGGGGAAGATGGGCGCCTTGTCCTTGGTGCGGATGTACTGTCCCAGCAGGCAGATGCTGAGGTAGATGGCTCCATTACAGGGTACCCAGGCGTCCGGGCTCCGCACCTGTCGAGCGCGTGGCGGTCAATTGTCTCGCGTGCAGTCATTAGCCGTCAAACACAATTTCATCCACCATGAGGTGTGCAAGATCATGTTCGGCAATAGGCATGCAAAACCAATAAAACGTACAACCAGCGCTGCAGTAGATATGGATACTTACGCTTTGAATGTCCAGAAGAATTTCCACCTTCTGCGATCTTCGTTTCATGCCGGCTTTGCACATGGTTGATGTGGTGTCAGAGTCGCTCGGTTCGTATTATCGTTCGTTGTCACCTACCGCACCGCATTTTTTTCGACGATCATTCGCTACACCCCGGGAAAAATGCGAGGCACAACGGCACCAATACACGCATTCGCTCGATACGAGAAACAGAAACTGGCTTGTCGTTGGTTTGCTTTGTCGTGTGGGATGGGATTAGGATGGGATTCCCGCACTTCCCCAACCCCTCATAGCGGCTTTATCGATGCTGGTTGCTAGGCAACGGATGACCGCGATGGGTTCCACCCCCACGACGACACTTCAGTTGTTTTCGATGCTTAATTGATAGTCAATGGCTGGTGCAGTTCATTATTTCCGAAACAACTATCCCTCGCTAAAACCTCATTTGGATGGCAATGGCATCCATCTGACCACATAAAATGTAAGTAGATGTGCTATACCATAGCTAACCACGATATACCCTAGTGTAACTGAGCGAAGGAAAGTTATGACAAACCTGAGCCATTTTGCGCACACATGATCGTAATGAAATAACTCAAATACAGCTATTGGCTAAGAGTGTTATAAAATGAAATAAGCGAAATAATATCGACCATTCCGGATTAATTGCCTCCTAGTGGATATGGAACAATGACTTGGTGAAGCTGAAACTTCAAAAGCAGATATTTCTCAAACATTATATTTCCAACTTTTAAATTCTAACAGGCAGCCCGAGCATGCATTCTTCCCTGAACAGCGCATATCGATTACCTCTGGGAGGTTAACGCGAAATTCAAACAAACGCACAGCCGAAAACCAGCCAAGCAACGCCAACAATTTGAGGCAACTACAACCGAGTTGAACGCCCACAATATACTGTCTTTAACAGCCCTTATTGAGTTAGTTGACCTAACGAGTTTAAACTACGATGTCTTCCTGGCGATTGTGTCAGTCAGACTACTGAGTACTACAGATTGCACCAGAGGTAGGGGCCGGCAGTGCTGCCCGGCAGTGGGGGTAGGGGGGGGGGCAGTGTGCTGACCCGGGGAGGGGGGGGGGGCACTGTGTCGACCCAGTGAGGGAGGGGAGGTGCAGGGGCAGATCACGTGATGACGGTAGGCTCGCTGCGGCCCGTGTACTCCTTCAGTTTGCTGACGGTGATCGCGATATCCACCAGCGGAGCCAGCGCCGCCTGACGGAAAAATAAACACCAATTACACACGGCACACACGAATCGGTGAATGACACATGAAAGGAAACGTTCATTACGGGAATAAATATAACGTCGAGCCAAATATTGTTTTTCAGTGTAGTAGTTCAAACATCGCATACCTATCCCACAATGCTTTTTCGACTCTTCATGTCGAAAATAGAATTAACTGCAGCTAAGCTGCTAGGCTGCAACATCAGTTTTAACGCCGCGAACCCTGTGTCCGTTTTACCCAGACCGGGGAGTGGGACCAGCGTCCATGTCTGACTCACCTGCGCGTCCATCCTGGTGTTATCCTTCTCGTAGCTCTCCACGTACATTCGTACGGTGGCGCCGCTGCTACCAGTGCCACTCAGCCGGAACACGACCCGGGAGCCATCAGAGAAGATCAGACGGATACCCTGAGGAGAGGAGGGGGTTGGAGCAGCTGTCAGAAAACAGTCGGAACACGACCCGGGAGCCATCAGAGAATATCAGACGGATGCCCTGAGGAACGTGGGTCGTGTAAGGAGCGGTTCAGAGGAGTCTGAATGGTGAAATGTCATGACATGACCTGCTATTACAACACAGTGGACGATGAGTTGGGAGTTAAGGACGGTCGGACTGCGGTGGTCATCGGCGTCCAATGTCCATCAGTCGAGGTCCCTCGCTTGATATGTTTGGCAACAAGTAAACTTAATTTATCCTGTTGCTGAGCAATAATTGAAAATTGCTGTATAAGCGAAACGTTCACGGATTATCATACCCAACAAGAGGCGTTCACGGAAAATAAATATCCTTCGACCACCAATGCACTCACTCATTTCATCCCATTAGCTATCATCCTGATGACGTCTGTCCATCTTTCGTTGTCCCCATTCCCTCCGTCCCACGCGCGCCGCTGCTCACCTGGTTTTTGGTGACGCTGTTGTCGACGGGGTCGGTGTAGCAGAAGTTGTCCGCCTTGCTGACCGTATAGCTCTTCCCGCCGCTGGAGTACGTCTTCCCGACGGTGGACGGATCGGCCACCAGCTGGTTCAGCTCCGACATCATCTTCTCGCAGGGCGCCGACTCGCAGTTCTCGTAGTCGTACCTGGTCACAGCCGGGCGGAAGAGTAATGACTAATGAGGTCAGTGAAGGTAGGATGAGCTGGTGTTTGATAACGGCAAGGGATTGCTGGGCGACGTTGATTTGATAAAACCTTTCAAAACCGTTGCTTTCCTAGTTCACAAAAGGGAAGAACGAGCTCGTCATATTGCTTATTTCAAACCAACGCTATCAGCATCCATGCTTTCCAAAATTTACCAAGCTTACGACAGCACAGATGCTGATAAAGATGAGACGCAATAAATGAAGAAAACACGCCACATCTTTTCCCCAGTGGTCTCTACCCAACCGTCCGTCTCTGGCCTTCGGTCATTTCAACTGCCTCTAACCGCGTCTCACCGTGTGAAGAAGTTCCTGCCGTACTGGTCCCAGTGCGCCTCCAGGATCTGCTGGACGCTCTGTTGGCGCTGCGCGATCACCGACAGCCACGCCAGCGCCGCCCAGATGCCGTCCTTCTCGCGGACATGGTCCGACCCGGTGCCGAAGCTCTCCTCGCCGCAGAGCGACAGCCGACCGGCGTCCATCAGATTACCGAAAAACTTCCAGCCGGTGGGCACCTCGAAACACTCGAGCTTCTTGGCGGCCGCCACCCTGGAGATGAACAAAGGGAGGGTCAGACAGACGGAACCAGACAGACCTACCAAAGGGGAAGATATCTAGAGATATGTATTCCGTTAACGCTGTTGACAGTAATTGCCATATCTGACCGTCAATACAAAATACTCGTGATCAGAAAGACCATAAAATATCTTGTAGAAAGTCATGCATCCCGTGAATGAATTTCACCAACACAAGTCACGTTAGGCCACCTGCAGTCCACACTGCAGTCCCCTAGCAACACCTCTCCAGAACACACCTGTCACTTACACAGCATCGAATCCGTCCAAAGAGCACCGCAAACCGCTGAATACCTTCCGGGCCATACATGTCGAGCTAACATCTATCACAAATTCCCTGTAGTATGTACCTTAGTCACGTCCCTCCTCCACAAACATCTCACCTGTCCAGAGCACACCCTGTCGGCATGCTGCGCGCCAGGCCGCGCACCCCCAGCCGACGGAAGTAGGGAATACAGTCCAGGTTGTTGGCCAGCACTGCCAGAGAGTCGGACGGGTTCACGAAGAACGCGCCCTCGCCGATAATCATGTTACGGTCCTGTGGAGGGGACAGGAAAAAAATAAGACATCTGCAAAAGTGCATGGAGTGAACATCGTTGTATCATTGAATAATAAAACGTCCTTTCAATTAATAAAAATAACGAATAATCGTAAAATTTTAAATAAATGCTTGAAAGCATGAGCAGCAAGCAGCAAATCTCCTGACAATTTCCAGTCAACACAACAATTTCTTCCGCCGCGGCGAGCTTGCACTCACCCCGTCTCCGTCGAAGGCGGCTCCGAAGCCCTGCCCGCCCTGTTTGACGGCCTCCACCAGCGGTTTGGCGTAGGTCAGGTTCGGGTCGGGGTGGAGGCCGCCGAAATCGGCCAGGGGCTGGCTGTGGACCACGGCGTCCGCCGGCGCGCCGAGCTCCTCGCAGAACACGCGCCGCGCGTACGGGCCCGTCACTGTCAGCCAGAGGAACAAGACAGGTAAAGCAGTGGAAGTAGTCGAAGTTTACGAAGCATTACGTGGACTATAACCCGTCCCGTCTCCACCCATCGTCGACTCCACCGACCTCCGTTGAGACAGTCGACCCGGATTCGGAGCGGCTCGTTGCCGTCCGAACCGGTCAGCAGCTGTCGGATGGCGTCAAAGTCGAAAATCTGCCGCATCAGGTGGACGTAGTCGTCCACAGAGTCCACCACGTCCACAATGAACAGACGACCGTCCACCTGGGGAGGGAGCACGGGGACAGAGCCGTCAGCCGGGACAGCGGCGGCTGGCACCACGCTCCCGTCAGCTGGGACAGCGGCGGCTGGTACACCGCTCAGGGAGGGGGGGGGGGGGGCTGCGGTTGGGGATAAAAGCATATAACAGATATCATCAGTTACAATGGATAACTCAAACCAATGTGAGTTTGGATAACTGAGTTCATCAGAAGGCCATTGATATTTATGCAACAAAACTATTTATAATTCATATTTATGCCAATAATGTGACCGGCGGACCGGCGAAACTTGATAACGCAGAGCTACCTATGTAATGTCCGTAACTAAGATCGGCTGACGCGACTCTCACGCACCGAGTAGGACGAGCTGCCGATGGCGTCGATGTCGCAGCTGATGTCGGCGATGCTGTACGAGCTGATCTTGGTGGAGATCTGGTAGATCTCCGACGTGACCGCTTCCGGAGCCGGACCTGGACATCCGTGCGCACATTACTGATAATGGGCATGACAGACTACTCGGACAGATTAGCTAGCTAGACACACATCATATTAAAAAAACGTTATAATCGGATCTGGGGCTGTTAATCGACACAAAATATGCTTGCGATGTCCACTTACCATTCCTATGCATTTGCCATTCCGGTATCTTTTACCGTCTCCCCGGTAAAAGATAGCGAGCCCAGACAACACCGCTGTTTTATCGGTAAACGGATATGTACCAAACACTGATCTGTAGATTACAGAAATACCTTATCTTACATTTCTACTTTCTCTGAGCATTTAATAACAAGCTACCACAAAAAGGCATCCCGTCCATCATCAGGACCCAGCGCCCCATCTGTCTCTCTATCGGCATCAGGAGAGCCGGGCCCGCCCACCTCCGTTGGCGCAGTTGAACTTGATGCCAAAGTCGCCGTCGGGGCCACCAGGGTTGTGGCTGGCTGTCAGAATGATGCCGCCCATGGTCTGGTGCTTGCGGATCAGGCAGGATACTGCAGGAGTCGAGAGCACACCATGCTGGCCCACAATCAGACGCTTCACCTGCACAGAGACAGACACGGCGCGGCGTTAGAGCCAACTCAAGCACTTGACACAGCGCAGCACATGCCAATTTACACTATGACCTTAATTGAAAAAATGCTTTGCAACTTGACATTTCAGGTTTGCCTTGGATTCAGATTGCACATGTCATAAACTCCACTGAACAAAATAGCAGCATTCCATTCGATGAAACCAGCTTGCCACTCACTCCATTGGCAGCTGCCATTTTGATGATGATGGCCACAGCTTCCTTGGTGAAGAAGCGGCCATCACCTCCGACAACCAGTGTGCAGCCATCAATCTTGTCTCCTAGAGCTGAGAGCGTGCTTTGCACAAAGTTCTCAGTGTAACGGGGCTTCTGGAACTCTGTGACCTTCTTGCGGAGGCCACTGGTGCCTGGCTTTTGGCCCTCAAATGGTGTCGTGCTCACCTTACTTGAGAGAACACGACTCATTGTGACAGTGATCTGCCAATAGAAACACAAGTATAATGCTCTAACACCCAAAAATTGGGTGTTTGTTTAGCACAACAGTTGTATCAATAAGATATAGAGGGAGCATGGGTGTCAATTTCTGCCGAGTTAGGGATGCCTGAGCTCTTCGAATTCCACGCTGGCTCGGCCGGCTTGGCTTTGGAGCCGCAACAGACGGCGCAGGTCAAAGTAACTGCTAGGGCGGCCGCGGATTTGCTGCGCCCGCGCACCCCCAACTCGGCGGAAATCGACACCCATTGGTGGGAGTCATGATTTGAACTTTTATTCCTCACATTATTTGCATTGCTTGCTGAAGACTTTAAAATCACATCACAGTCAATGAATTTTAAAGCTTAATCAACTTTAGAGGGCGCAAAAGGTAGTTATAGCCGATATATTAAAAAAAAACTCTAGATGTATTTACTGATATTTTTTTTTAGAAATAATTCAATCAAAAGGATCCTATCAAGCTTTCAAGAACTCTGCTCAAGCTAGAGAGCAGAGTTTGCCAATGTATTGTAAAGACAATCAATCCACACTGATGGCCTTCTTTCTTAAATCCCTACCCTATTCCAGCAGTGATGGAAAATGGAAAATAACTCAGAGAAATGCCGACCCCAGACACTGAAGCACCACGTGAACGAAAAGGGGGCGGTAACGACCTTTGAGTTGACCTTCAGGGAGCAAATGTCAACATGTCGCAAGCGCGCAAGAAATGTAGCTTGCGCATTGACCTTGATCAAGGACGAATATTTACATTGAGCGTTTTGTCAAGGGAAGATGAGAGGTGCTTTTCAAAATTGATTATAGATAAGGCTAATTAGATAAACCGTTGTGCGTATTATCCAGTCAAAGTTACCAGCAGCGCGCTCGCCTATCCGCAGGCCCTTGCCTTCACCTTGGGCTGCGATGCGTACCGTACGTCAAGTTGCGGCCGATCGCAAGACCCCTCGAACTTTGCTGCTTTTTTCAGCTTCAAGCAACAATAATTGTTGGATTACTCGTCAAAAACCATTGCGTGAGTCCTTTATTTATGTCTGACAAGTTTGAGGTCATCTCATCACCGCCAGGTTTAGGTCAAGCCCGGTCAAGGTCACCAAAAGTCGAGTTTTCCATGGTCGAGAAATCGGTATGTTGCTTCGGGCTCACGGATCGTACACTAATATGACGTCATTGGTGGCATGGGATAATGTCGCAAGATTATTGTTGTAGTTGTTGTACCTTTATTCCTTTACGGCACCGGGCACGTTCTCCCTGTATTTAGGGCCTTGGTTCTTCCCTTATGTTCTGTCCAACCGTTATGCTAACGTCTTCCTTTTCTACCGTCTACGTTTGTCCTTTCTGAGTTCTGACATCGGTATGTTTTCGTCGCATTACCATGCTGAACCAATCTGTTTGTGTTTACAGCTGCGTGGTATCAGTGTTGGTGAATCATGCGCGTGAGGCGTGAGGCTCATAGATCGGCTCACTTGATGCAGCCCAAGATGCTGCCGTACGGCCACGGCGTCGTTACACAGCTGAGCCCGGTGAGTACCGGCTCCGGTATCCCCCCGATCCCCATCGGCGGGGATAGGGTGTCATGTCGACGCCGCGACCGTTGGGTCTGCTGCAGCGTCATGCCTTGGTTCGGAAAGGCGGTTTACATGCATGGCACTGTTCTCAGCACAGTGGCCTATGACCCAGCGCAACTGACGGCGGCGGCGGATACGGCACGGGGGTCTGAGTACGGCCCTTTACGACCACCGCGCCGGGGTGGCTCGTGTCCGGGCTATGACATATCTGTTGACCGGGGTCGGCCTCCATCTCTCGGACGGAACTCCGGGAATGTACTTTCCATGTCTGCATATTCGAAGTATTCCACCCTAAAACTGCTGTACCTACATTGCTTCCGCTAGAGCTCAAAGTTTGTGCTGTTCGTATGATCGTCGGATGGCAAGTTACAATACGTCGGCGGTCCCGTCGCGCGGTATCCTCTTTCGTTCGTAGGTCGTACTGTGTTCGAGGCCCTAGCAGTGCGAAACTCAGGTTATTTGGCGACGTGCAGGCAGTGGGCTGGTCTCGATAACGGACTAAACCGGTAAATTAGTCGCCGTTTATTTTTTTATTTATTTAATCGGACCTCTCTCCAACGGGCTCTTGTCCCAATTATAGGAGAGAGCACCTGCTCCTCCCGCCGTCCTATTCCCCACCCCCCAGGCAACGGCTGAAGTGGGAGCCTACCCCACACCTGGTGACGCAGCCGGGGACGACGCCCGCGGAACGGGCGGAACCGGGAATCGAACCCGAAACCCGGCACCGCCGCACCGCGGGTCGACTGCGCCACCAGGGCCGCGTGGCGCCCTGGCGGTTTAAATCAATCCTCGCTAAATAAAACATTCCCAGCGTAGCCGATCGTTGGGCTGAGGATGTGTTCAGACCCGCCTCAGGGCTGCGGAGTCGATGGATTTTAGGGTGACTCCAACTCCGACTTCGGACGGTTCTATTAAAATCCATATCATGATATTGAAGTTCATAATGGAGGTATTTTTATCTTGCCGAAACGCTTTGCAAATATTAAAAATAACGTGCAGAATTAAAAGCTGGTTCTAGGGAATCCACCGTCTTCTGCTTCTTTCGCTGAAAGCGTTCGTCTAAAACGGCAAAATGGTCTTTTTTTTAAAACAAAAACTTATTTCGGGCGCAGTATCGTCAATCAAACAGGTGCAGTGCATGACGTTGAGCCATGCAGCGTTAACTCCGACTCCGGAGTCGGAGTCGGCGAGATTTTGACGACTCCGACTCCGACTCCGATTCCGGGTAGAGCTGTCGACTCCGACCGACTCCAACTCCTACTCCGACTCCGCAGCCCTGGTTCAGACCTTGTTAATGTTGCATGAAAATGCGTTACAAAAACGGCAACGGCCGCAGATACCAGCAAGTATTAGCGCAAAAGTCAACCGCTGGGCCGTTTTGTGATGGCGACTGAGGGTAAAATGCCCATCGTGTATGGTATCGCTCTTCTTGTTGCTTGGGTACCTACATACCTAAATCAATGTTGTGTATAGAGTAAACGCGGAAATAATAGATATATACATTTATTACACGTATAATGGTCGCCAGCGTCCATGGTACACTCCCCTCCCACCCCTCCCTTACCGACACGGGCTTGGCAGACTGGAGCACACGACTGAAGCACACGACCTCAGTCTCTGCTCAGACCGGAACACCCGACCCCAGTCTGTGCTCAGACCGGAACACCCGACCCCAGTCTGTGCTCAGACCGGAACACCCAGCCCCAGTCTGTGCTCCGACTGGAACACACGACCCCAGTCTGTGCAGTGGCTGAATGGTGGCGGTTACTGCTGCAGCCCCGTTATCCATTCACACCCATTGCAGGCAGTCCCGTTAGCCTGAGCTCCTTTACGTTGGCTCATCAAACACTCGCCCATTTACACGCACACCGCAACACATTCACTTGGATAACAAGGAAATCAAACAACAACAACATCCTAAAGGCACAACAAGCAAACAGCTTCAGGATTCACCGAAACTCTGCAGTTGAGCAGACACCCGGCTATAGAAATAGTGCCTGCAGATACACAACACAAAACAAAGAAACACTATACGCGCAACAACAAACGACAAACACGGAACCGGACCTCAAAGCTGGCGTTGGCCCGGTCGCTCGCTTCCCACACGCTCACATATCACGGACACTGGTGGCTGGCTCAGAGAGCCCGCCCACTACCTGCTCCCTGCAGTTCCCCGTCACCCGCCCTGACCTCGGCTGGTCGGCGCGCCACGCTGACCCGTGACCCGGCCCGGAGTGGTGACGGTCGCCCTGACCGTACGTCAGGTCACTGGCGGTGTGTCGTGACGGTAGAAGTACGGGTCAGTTCTGGGCCTCGTGGCCTAGCCGCATGGCCTGTGGTCGTGACCAGATCTCAGGCATTCCTGGCAGTCAGATAGACAGGCACCCGACCCTCTCAGGAAAGAGACGCTCGCCGGGGGCTAGCTGTAGATAGACCAGACCAACTGGACGGCGCGGTGGTCGGCCGCCCCTCAGAGGCTGTTGGCCGCGCTGTGGTCAGGGCATCTGACGTGTCCGTGTCGGTCCCCATCGGACCGACGTCGCTGCGTCCTACCCGCGTTCCCAGAAAGGCACCTGAATCATCGTTGAGCCGGAGGTGCCAGCCTCTCAGGTGGGTACCGTTCCTTTCGGCGCCGCCAGAGCTCGGGCCTCTCCAGGCGACACCGGGCCCAGGCGCCGGACCCGCAGTGCACACTCACTCACCCGAACGGCAAGACGCTCGGCTCTGCACCCGGCGCTCAGAACTGGCCGCTCTTCTTCTGCAGGAAGATGGGGTTCTCGAACGAGGAGAGCATGGCGGCGCGGTCGCCGCTGAAGCCCCGGTACCGCAGACAGAGGAAGGCCGACAGAAGTGACGAGATGACCAGGATCGCCAGCAGGACGATCAGCGTGGCCGCGAAGCCCGGCGTCGACATGCAGATCTGGTGCTCGCTGCCCTCCACGGGCACCACCACCGTCTGCGTGTCGTTGCCGGCGGGCGTCTCGAGCGCGAACGCCAGGTCGCGCGTCGACACCACCTGGATGATGCGGTCGATGCCGACGTCGCGCGCCTCGTCGGCCGATCGTCGCTGGCGGTGCGGCGCGTCGTATCCACCCTTGTCCTGCTGGCCGCACTGCTCCGAGCACTGGTAGCGGCAGATCTGGATCGTGCACTGGAAGTGAACCTCCATCGAGTCGGGGAACTTGAACGCCTGGAAGTGAGCGTACGACAGCACCGACGCCGACGCGCCGAAGTTCTTGATCTTGGTGAACTTGGACATCAGCTTCGGCCGGGTGATGCAGCCCGCCTGGTCGACCAGCTGGATCGGAGCACGCTTGCCGTCGTGAGCCACGCAGTTGCGGACGAGCATGTCGAACTTGTTATCGTCGTCCTTGATGGCCAGCACCATGGTCATGGTCTGTCCGATCTTCACCAGACCGCTGACCTCCGCCGCCCACGGGCCCTTGCCGACCTGGATCTGCATCCAGCAGCCCACGTTATCCCCGGCGAAGTCGGCGCGCACCACGTCCAGCATGTCGACGGGGAAGGGCCGGAAGGTGACGGCCTTCTCGTACTGGTTGTGCCAGGTGCAGCGCAGCTTGCGCGCCTGGTCCCAGACCTCCTGCACCTGCGGGTCGTACTGGATGATTATGGTGTTCTCGAAGAAGGTGCCCGTGTCGGCGCCGTAGCCGCCGTGGCCGCTGTCCGAGTTGCCCGTGGTGCCACACGAGTTGATGCTGACGTCGAACTGGGCGTGCGCGCTGTTGGAGCCCGCCTGCAGGTGCACGCAGTCGTAGTTGCTGTAGTGACCCTTGCTGAAGATGATGCCAGAGAACGGCTTGTCAAAGTGCACCGAGACACGCATCAGCGCCTTGTCGCACTGCACGTCCAGTGAAACGATCCGGGGCATGTCGGCGGCCGGCACGGGCCACACCTCGGCGCCGCCGCCGTATCCGCCGGCCTGGGGCGCCGCCGGGGCGCCGTAGTTGTCCTGGGGCGCCGCCGGGGCGCCGTAGCCGTCCTGGGGCGCCGGCTGGTACTGGCCGGCCGGGGCACCGTACTCTTCAGCGGGCTGCTCGGGCGTCTGGTAACTGACCTGGGCCTGAGCCTCCGGAGCGCCGTACTGCTCGGCCACCTGGTGGGACGGCGGCGCGTCGTAGGTCTGCTCCGGGTGCGCCGGCGCTTCGTAACTCTGCTGAGGGGCGTCGTACGTCTGCTGAGGGGCGTCATAGGTCTGTTGAGGGGCATCATATGTCTCCTGAGGAGCGTCGTAAGTCTGTTCGGGAGCGTCATAGGTCTGCTGGGGCTCCGAGTAGCTCTGCTGCGGCTCCGAGTAGCTCTGCTGCGGCTGGACCTGAGCGGCGTAGGACGGCTGCGGCGCCGAGTAGTCGTCCGCCGGAGCGCTGTAAGACTCCCCACCACCGTGGCCGGCATTATGGCCGCCTCCGTGACCGGCATCGTGGCCGCCATCTTCGTACTGCTGCGGCGGCGGGGCCACGTAGGCGCCAGACGCTACCGTGCCAGAGGAGTGAGAGTCGCCGTGTCCTCCGGAGCTGTGTCCTCCAGAGCTGTGTCCGCCAGAGCTGTGTCCTCCCGAGCTGTGTCCGCCAGAGCTGTGTCCTCCAGAGCTGTGTCCTCCAGAGCTGTGTCCTCCCGAGCTGTGTCCTCCAGCAGCGTGTCCTCCAGCTGCGTGTCCTCCGGTAGCGTGTCCTCCGGCAGCGTGTCCTCCGCTGGGAGCGCCGTATTCAGCACTGGGCTTAGGAGGCGGGCCGTAGCTGGGCTGAGGCGGACCGTAGACGGGACGGGGCTTGTGGGGACGAGGGCGGGGCCGGGGGCGGTAGCGGGGAGGGCCGTGGGCCGGCTTGGGCTTGTAGACGGGCCGCGGCCGGCCGTGTCCTCCTCCGACAGCCACCCCGTGTCCGGCTCCGTGTCCGCCGCCGACGGCAGCTCCGTGACCCCCGCCGTGTCCGCCGCCGAACGCGCCGGCCGGCGCCTTGGGCAGCACCACCGTGCCGGGCCTGACGGGCACGGCGAACGGCACGGGGATCGGTCCGGGCACCGGCGGGCTGCCCTTGGGCGGCCGCGGCGGGCCGTAGTCGTCGTGGCCGCCCGAGCTGTAGCCGCCGGAGGGGGGCGCGTGCACGGCGTGACCGCCCGAGTCGCGCTCCTCTAGCTGAGAGGCCAGCGCCAGCTGGTCCTCCTCCGGGGCGTCGTCGGAACGCGCCTGAGCCTCCAGGGGCGCCTCGGCGGGCGCCGGGTCGGCGGGCTCGGCGCCCGGCTCGGCCACGGCCACTCCCTGGACGACCTGAGTGGCCTCCTCCTCAGCGCCGGCCGCCTGAAAGAGAAACACGGGACTCTGGTCAGATGGAGGGCAGTCGTATGAGATACATTGATTACTGTTTTTGTTTGGGTAGATGATAGTCTCGTGTCAGGTGGTCATTTTATGCTAGCACACATCGAGATCGAGAACAGGCAGTGGGAAAATATAACAAAACACACGGATGTCTCCCCATCAGTCAAACCCGAGAAAGTCGCGTCACGGTGCGTTTAACATGCCGGCGGTTCGGATCTGTCGCCCGCTGACCGGTGGAATTTCAGACACCTGTCATTAGGGCTGGTCCGGAGCGGCCGGACGGCGGCTGTTTCGCACCCTGGCGGCGTAAGCCGGCCGTGGGAGCGCCAGTGGCGGCCGGTGGCCGACATTCGGCCGGCCGGCGCACGTGCCGGCGGCGGCTGCGGCCGCTCTGTGTCCTCCTGACCGGCCGGTTCCGATGGGAACCCAGCACCGCGTGATTCGGGCGGCGCTCAATTGGTAACGGTGGCGCGCGGAGCCGTGATGGTCCGTCCGACGGACCGCCCGCGGCCAGCCCCGCCGGGCGCGGCCGGCGCCGCTATTTCGCCCAACGGTCGCAGATGTGCGCCGCGCCCGGACGAAGGATTGTGGCCGGCGTGCAGTTCCAACTGTGATTCACGCTGTCGCTCACTGTCGACGTCCCGTTACCATAAACGTATTCTGGGGGTCGGTAAAACCGAGTCTGTTTCTCGCTCTCTCTACCACCGTTTGCCAATGAGCTCCGTAGTCCGTATACCTAATCCACAGATCGGCCAATGCAGATCAGTCCTATATAACTGCTGGCCAGTCGGGCCAATGCAGATGAGCTCTGTAGAACTGTTGGGAAGTCCATGCAGATTCGCCCTCTGCTCGCCGTGTGGCCGGCCGGTGACGTGCCGGCTCCTCGGGCTCCCGCTGGACGTGTCTGACCCCGTTTATCGACTAACCCACTCATCCCGAATACGTAATGGAGCGCCGCTCCGACCCCCGCCGAGCTACCTGGCAGCGCACAGCGCCGCTGACGCAACGGAGACGCGCGGAACGAGGGAGAGCGGCCCAGTTAGGAAGGAGACATACCACACGGACACAAACAACAGCACGCATAGGCAGATAACAGCACATGGACGTAAACAGAACATCACACTGACGTAAACAGAGCATCGCACTGACGCAAACAATAGTAGATGGATGCAAACAGAACTTCACCTGGACACACACAGAACATGATACGGGCGCAAACAAAGTGTAAAGCGGACGGCAAATTGGTGACTCGTGTATATAATAATTGTTCATTTAGCTACGGACTTGATTGAAGAATAAACACGAGTGTCAAAGGTTTCTGTTTTCAGATGCCGAACTCCTAAGATGGACATCGTGTCGCCACTTGCCAGCCAAAGATTCCCGCTCAAGTTGGATGTTTCGTTTGGAGCTACATGCACATCGCAGGTAAGTCGCTGACCACGGCTGTGCTGCCGCTCCTGTGGCCGGGGATGTGGGCCAGATAGGTGTGGCTCTCGCTGTCGGGAGTAGCCGCGGGCTGCCCCCATTCCTACCGGGCGCGGACATGATATACGCCCGGGAGGGGCCGGGGCGGGCCGGGCGAGCCGGCGCTCCGCACGACAAGCCGCCTCCGCATGATACGGGCACGTGAGGCGTCGCTGCGCGCACGCCGGCTCTCGTCTCCACCTTCGTTCTATCCTGAGCCTCTTTTTCCATCGGTCAATTCATAACCTTCGTACTCATAGCTTTCGGCAGCTTTGTTCATCCAAGATCATAGTTTTGGCTTCCACCGTTTTTGCCGAATCTTGTCAAATGTGCAGCCATCCTGTCCTGGTTTCCTTGGCTGTTTTGACCCATCCAACGTCGTGCCGCGTTACTAATATCGTCACGTCACCCACATATACCGCACATGACACAGATGTCAGCGCTGACCACCTATTCCCGCCCCGGAGGCACGGAGGACCGCCGCGTCAATAACAGTGGTCACCAATTTTCCGTAGGTAGCACCGCCCATTTCCACACTGGCGGCGCCAATTGCCAGCTGGCCGTATAGAGTTTGTAATAGGCGCGGAAATATATTATCTCATTATAACTGTACGGTCGCGCTGGCGAATTGGCGGCGCGGCGTCGGCGGCCCTACTGAACCTGTGACCCGCTGTGGTCCCGAGGAGTCCAAACGACCCGCTGGAACGCGACGGGTGTGTGCTCGGCCGGCCCAGTAATTGGGACTACGGTGTATTGACGGCGTAATTGGGGCACTCCAGAGAGGATGACACGGCAGAGGAGACGGTACACGGCAGACGTGGGTCAGGAGACGTGTCGCGATCATTTGTGGCATATTTCTGACGCAAGATCGTGACGCTGATCCTCCCGTTGCTCCGATGAACCCCGCCGCGCCGTGCTGAAATTCCAGCCATGCGCGGCGGTCGCGGTGCCATTTCGCCGCCGCTGCGGAACGATTGAGCACCGCACGGCACTGGGTCAGCCGGGCGACCGGCGCTGACCCCAGCGGTGACCCGAGCGGCGACCCCTGACCTTCCGGGGCGGGCCGCGGTCGGCCGCCGCGCCGCCTCCCACCCACAGGGTGCCTGGCTCCGCTCCTTCCGCCCTCAGTCAGGAGCTGTTACCGCACCGTTCACACCCTGGTGAACGGGGCCCGCTTCCGTCCGGCCGGCCGGCGAGAAAGGGCTGCTGGCGGCGCCCGGTCGGACAGCCACTTCCGCGTTTCGAACATTTATAAATGTTATTCTTTTTCTCAACAACAGACCGCCAGACCCCCGGCAGCTGCCATTCTGAGTAAGTTGGTGACTGGTGTTATCTTTGTGTGGCGCGCTGCTGTCGCCGATAGCCTCGTGTCTGGCGTTGCAGTCTCCAGTGCTACTGCGCTGTGCTAAAATGCAATCTCCCGTTGGTAGAGTGACAGTTTCGCTCTCGATGCCGTTAGTGCTATTACTTTCTGGAGAGATGGTTACGTGTTTATGTTATGACGCAGTGTGTGCCGCTTTATACGGGTTAGTGTTGCATTGGGAAACCAAACTTTGCTGTTATCATGTTCATGAAAATTACTTTTCGGCTGTTATTCGTAATATACGCACTGAGTTGTAAATTATGCCACGATTGCAGCGTTGAAGTGCCGTTTAAGTTTCGCCTAAGTTGCTTTTAGTGTTGAGCTGAATTGTTGACATTACGAAAGCTCCACTTCATTTGAAGATAATTTCGCATCCAATTATATTTGGAAGCACACTATGTGAAACGTTTCACATACTCTGAGTTGTAACCGAAACATGCCTGGTTACTGTGCCGTGACGCTCGTCCTAGAACGTAGAAGTACGGCACGACATTCCCACTGGTGGATCCCGCCCCTTCTGTGATTTGCATGTGTGAAGCGGGTCTCCCGTCACGCATTCCTCCGAGCCACAGCTTTCATTTCGTCCGAACGGCCACGGCGGGCGCCGCCTGCCGCCGCGGCTGTGCGTTTCTCGATTCCCACATTGATTCCGGTTGACGGGGCGCCCCTCGCGCGTGTCGAGTCTGCCCGTCCTCTGCACGGAGCAGGGCAGGGTCAGTACGGCCAGCGCCTGAATGCTAGTGCAGGAAATATCTTGGCTGTCTATAGGGCACGACAGACCAGTGAATGATTGCCAGTTGCCACATCCTTAAACTTGAACTCGGGCTGTGAACGGATGTCAGGGCTCGTTCAATGTTACCACCGAGCCAGGTCGGTGAGAATCAGCGGAGTTGAATCAGCGGAGTTGAATCAGCGGAGTTGAATCAGCGGAGCTGACCAGTGACCAGGGAGACGGCATGCCTTTACAGCGAGGTCGGCCGCCCCTAGATCATTATCACCGCCCTGGCCGCGCCTGTCTGTGCCCCATCCCCGTGAGATGGTGCGAGACGGCGCGATGAGGGCGGTCCGGACCTCGCCCGACCGCCCGCGGCCCACCCTCTCATTAAGGTCGTTAACGGGACGATGGCACGCGGCCCCAAACAACAGAATGCCCAACAATTTGGTGCCGAGAACGCCTGGACAGCCTGCGGATACAGGGGGTGGGGTGACTGGTGAGTATCCTCTGGAGAGAAGCCGAGACAAGTGAAAAACAAGGCGTTTGTGGACCTACGTCACCGCTCGCTTTTGCAGCGCGTTAGATTGCGATTCCTGTGATGATTCGCTCGCGGCCTGTCATAAATCGATTATTACAGACATTAATAATTCATCATAAATAGAGGGGTTATATGACCAGATATTTACAGGCACTTAAAGCCCATCGACATGAATAATTAAGTTATGACGACCATATGCTTCACTGCACCAGCCTGCAAACTATCCTGTCGGTGCGCTCCTCCTCAGTATCCCGTTCCACATGAGTAACTCCTCTAAGACGTCATCATCGCGGCATCCGATACATGTGGGTCAGTGTGTCTGCTGCTGTGGCTCCGTATCGGCTGCGTCACACAGCGCGTAAGGTGGTCCACTGGGGACTGAATGCCCGGTTAGTGTGGCCGCGGGAGTTACACGGCCGAGCGCGCACCGCCGCGCCTCGCTGACCGTGCCGCTCGAGCTGCCGTTGATATCCGCGTGGGGATGTGGAGGAAGGGAGAGTGGCGGCTCATGGGGCTGGTGGAGCTGGGATGTCATGAATGCTTTTCTGCCGAGCAGGCAGAGATGAAAGGTGAACGATAATCGCAACAATACTGTAGGAGCTATCTCAGCAGGATTCGATCTTTTAAGAACAGTAGGGCAAACGTGGCAAACGGCGGGCTTCTGCCAACTATACCATCGCTTACAAACACGTGGTCATTGGTAGTTTATGGAATACATATATCGTATACGCCAACATGTAAGTTGGCGGCAGCACGCCGGTTTCCATCCCTGTCATTCGTCTCTGTCCGTCCCATCGGGGCGGTCCCTTCGGGCCTCCATCCCACTGGTCAGTCCCGTCGCGTCCCGGCACGGCGCCGCTCAGCGACCCACTTGGGTCGCCGACTGACACGGTTTTCGGCGGATCTGCTCTCGGCGCTCTGCCCGCTCTGCTCGGCAGCTGCTCGTCGCCCGGGGGCACGGACAGGCTCGGCGGAGACCAGCAGAGGAGGGAGGCTGCCGTGCCGTCTCCCAGCGAGCGAGGAGCGGCCTCAATGGCACGCCGTGCCCGGCTGTCGCGGCAGTCAGCGTGGCGCGGTGCTGTGACCTTTGGTGCCGCGGCTGACGGCGGGCTCAGACGTGACCCAGGTGACCCGGGCCCCGGCGAGGCAGACGCTACCTCTGAAGATCACTCGCGACCGCCGCCGCTGGGCCGCCGACCTCTGAGAGCCTCGTCGTGACCGACTGACGGCCCTTCTGTCCTGTTGGACGTCGTTTTGTGAGTTGTGACGGCTCTGACACATCGTGTCGGCCCTCTGGGCGGCGTGACGCGCCGTTCCGGAGCTCCTCGCGCTGACCCAGTTCCGCGGAAACCGATCGGAGCCGCGCGGCACGGGCGCGCGCGCCGGCCGGTGTGGCGGCGGCGCCCGCGGCGGCCGCCGGCCCGATTGGCACCGGCGCGACCGAGTAGCGGTCGGCGCGAACCGCGTGCCGCCGCGCCGCGTGCTGGGCCAGTTAGCCACCGCGGCCGCGCGCAAGGACGCCCCAGGGCTGCCGGAACGGCGCCCGAGTGCGCCGGCACCGCCCCGGGCACAACGAGCGGTGTCTTTGTGCGGTCCGCTGCTACGGAGGCGCCGCGGGCGGGGCTGCCGCCGAGCTGTCGTGCAGTGGACAACGGCACGGTGGTCGGTGTGACGTTTTAATCCCTCATATGAGTTTTTGGGAGAGCTGTCATGAGTTCTTTCCCTCAGTGCACGATAATCCATGTTGTGAAAACTGAAATATCGGCTAGTAGATATGTTGCCCATTGTATTTTGTACTGCTTTGGACTGTGGTAAATGGGAAGCTCACTACGGAGTACGGACAGAACAGCACAACTCTCAACTTGTCAGAGTGTTTTCGTTAGAAGACGGCTCTGTCCGACCAACACTGCATACCTGACAGGAAAGCCGAGATGAATAACAAGCATCATCTCTCCTCAGTCGGCCTCGGCCTGTTGTCGCTATCCAAACACGGAACGTCTCTTGTCTCCTATTGAAATGTGACGCCCATGGATCATTTTCACAGGGCCAATGTTGTGTCACAACAGCCAGTAATGGCCAGCTTGTTTACTGAAGCGTATGATTTACGCATTCAGCCGGAGCAGCTGGAGCGGAACGAAAACTCTCGACTTTGACACCAGCTGGGACCGGCTGCCGTGTCCGCGGTCCGTGTTTGGGGAAGGTGGGCGGACATTGTGTGTGCGTTTTTTTAGAGTTTCGGTCAGGGAATAGCCGAGAGAAGCTCGGGAAAGTGGTGCAGTGAACGGCTCGGACAATCGGCGCCGAGAAAGCTCAATCGGTTGGCCGAACAGATGCTACCAAAACCA